AAAATTAGCGCATACCTGTGGACTCACAGCTTGAGGGCTTTTCGCGGACAGCAACGAGGAGCGAAGTGCTAAAGCCTTGTTCCGCCTTTGCTCGGTTGGACATTCAAGGTTGCTCGTTTCTGCACCGGGATAATCTGTTGTACGGTGCGGCTGCCAAGAGTCTGGCCTGTGGCCACGGAGGCATCGAAGAATTATCCTGGTGCATAGCTAAATTCAGAGCAAGTGTAGTTACATGTGCGAGGCATTTAAGCGTACGTCAATCTTCAGCCCATCCGATCTCTGGCTTCTCAGCCAACTGTGGCTGCATATATTGGAGGAGGTGGACCAAGTTCACTCGATATGCTGCTCAAGGCAGAGGCTGGGCCACACATCGTATTGACAAGCTTGGAGCTGGGAAGTGTGTTCGGAATGCTCTGGTCTTCTCCCGAAATTGCGTACTCAGTGTCGAAATAGAGTCCAAGACGTGGTGGTATCGACGGAAGAACGCCTCGACAGTTCGCAACGCCGGGTTGACGCAATACGCCCTATGGCGGGCTGAGGCAAATCCGCCCCCAATGGTCCCTATTCGACAACGGGACAAAGTTCCTCATTTGCTGCTTCGCCGTTATCATGACACTAGCAGTGGTCTGCATGCAAGCCCCCTACAGAGAACTATAACCGATTCCTTTGGTCCCTTGGCTGCCGCTGCCGCCGCCACCTTTTTCGACAAGATTTTCCGTTGGGGGTGCCAAGAAATCCTGGGTGCAAGGTTCTGCTTCCGACAGAAATGAAGAGGGGTATATCCGAACATTCGAGCCAAGGTGCTCAAAGGTGCTCGCTTCGTTTGACACAAGTGCAGGCAGAATGTTTGATATCTGGTGTACTCGCTGCTTGAGAAGCAGCAATAAGCTAAAACCCAAAGACAACCAACTCCAGACGGCGATGGGATGGAATGGTTCAAGGACAAGACGGACAGAGGCAGAGACTCAGTTCCTGCGAGCGGGGGATTTTTTTTTTTCCCTGGACTTTTTCAGTGGCTTTTGGCCACGATCCAACGTCCACAATTCCGTGGACGTGGCGAGGGATTTCTGAGTTTGTGCCTTACATTAGCCAGGCCCGACGGAACGCCTCCCCCGGCCACCAGCCATGTCACGTCCGGGAAGCGCCACCTCTTTGTCGGGTTCCTGTGCTTTCGTGGTGCAGTGGCGAGAAGCTCAAGCCATGAGCCTATCAAGCTAGCCAGAGGGCACATCCCATCCATGGGAGATGGGAGCTGTCCATGTCAAGAAGCTTACTCCGTACACAGGTTCCTTATTTTGGCGTGGCCGACATGCTGTGAGAGATCTCGATTTGACCTACACCATTCAGCTACATGCAATGCCGTATGCTGCCCTGAAATGTGCAGCAAACAAGAGATGGGGGATGCAGGTCACCACGGACCGCATGCTCTTTCAAGCTACACTTACTTTCAGGACGCGGGGGCCGTGGTGCGATGGAGCAATGCAATGGCGTTTTTTTTTTCATATGCAGGTTGGGACTCGCCGCCACCATTGACACATCGTAATTTCGTGGTGGACCGAGTCGAATCCGTCACGACATGGTACAGCACAGCACTCCGTAGCAGTGTCCGCTGAATCGGGTCCCTCTGTCTGGACACGAGTGGGTTGACGTCGTCCCGTTGGTGAAGTGGAGGAGAAGACATTTTCAACGAGCACTGCGCTCCACCTGGCCTGAAGAATGGGGCGCCTCTGCTTGGAAGCGTGGTTATTCCGGCCCGCGAACGGGGAAAGAAAAAACTCTGCACTGAGACGCCGTCGTTCAAATCTCCACCCAACGCAACTTGCCCACAGGGGCAGCCCGAAGCGGAATACGTCCGAAGACCCGCGCACAAAATCATCATCCGTGGATCTTTCCTTTTGCCTTCTTTTCCTTTTTCTTTTTCTTCCTCTTCCCTTGTAGGGTGACAGCGCGTCGCCACATTGGTGGCCTGCAATGACTTGCATCTGCGATGAATCTGGTCGGAAGACCTTCTAGCCTCTAATATGCCTCATCGGTCTTGGCAGCGTCTTCACACAAGTTGAGCGAGTTATGGCAGTGGCACAAGCACCTGTGTGGTGTACTCTTGGCTCGACATTCCAAGGCTGACCTACTTTCTCTCGCTGAGTAGCTGTGCATTAGTCCCATATGGGATCTACAGCGCCGAACAGCAACGCCGTGTCGTCCGTCTCCTTGTCCAGACACCCTCTACATGCAGTACAATCCGTATGGGAGGGAGCCTGTCCGCAACACCGACCACAGCCAGCGAAGCCCAACATGCTGCCTGAATTCTTGGTGCTAGGGATAGAGAAACTCTAACTTTTCCCTCTGAGACACCGAAAATATCCCGGTGCTGGCGGTTCTGGAGTGGTGTGGCGCCTCGCTATGCGTCGACCCCGGGGCCCGGAGCTCACCAATGGTCGGAGAAGTGTGGTATGACTGATGATTGATGTGATGTTATGTGTATGTGTACTCGGATGGTATCTCCAGAGCCGGAATTCAAGAGTCTGTCTGGCTGGACGATTCTTCCCCGATATCTTGGCGGCATCCGGCAAGTTCCGTATAGCAACGTGGGTTCCGAGCAGTGGTTGGAGTTTCGTTCGGTATGCAAGTCATGACAGGGGCGGTGAGCAAAATTTTTGTGTCTAGTGCAAATCCTATCGCAGGCCCTCTTGTTCTGAAGGAAAATTGGACGCCGTCATGGAAGTACTATGGGATAGGTCATCTTCCACACCGGGAACCGTAGCAGACGCACTAATTATATGGCTAGCTGGGCTAGCTATTTAGGGTAACTTATAACTAACATGGGATAGGTCACACAGGATGGTATTGCGGCGTGAAGCTGTTGTTGAACGTGGAGTGGTGTGAGTGGGTGACGAATGCTGGCCGGGGCATTTGCAGTTGGCACGTTGTTATTACCTTTGGCTGTTGTACGTGTCGAGTAGATTAGGCTCCGTCTGCGTAAGCGGTGATTTTTTTTTTTATTTTTGCCTTGTCGTAGCCGTCAAAAGAATCGACTCCAAAGCCGGACATGGTGAGGGGACATAGCCCACATCTTCGTTGACTACCTACCAAGTACGGAGTATACGGTGCCAATTGAGCGAGCAGAGGACAGCTTGTTCATTACGTGAAGCACCCTTTTGACCCCAACGATCGGGGTCCGGCACACCACGGGAATGACTGCGGCTGGCAACCCGCGATGGCTCGTTGAGCTGGTCCATCACAGTACGGGTTCTACTTGGACCTGCCATTGCATGATAAGCAAGTTCCCTTTGGCGCGTTGCGAAATATATATATAAAAAAGTAAAGCATATAGTAAGATAACCAAAGAAAGAAAAGATGGCTTTTCTACCTCTTCCATCTTTTCAGTTCGTATTTGATACCAGCAACGCTTGACTGCAGCAGCCTGTAGGTTAGCCCTTGACAATGATGCTGCTCCGCTATGATAGATAACATTTTACTTGCGTGGAAAATAGGCACTCCTCTTTCTGCAAGAAAACATAAAAAGGCTTTCAAAATGCCAGGCATCTCTTTGGTATATACCTGGCGAGCAGCGTTTGCATACTTGACTGCCTTCGTGTCGTGCCACAAGCGATCCGGACGATACACGAAGCAGACCTGTGCATGAGAGACTCGATCGCTCATCCCCCAGCATTACTCGACTCCTCTATTGATGTCTATTCTAATAGATGAGTGGCATGAGCTGCCACCGTATCGCGAAATGTGAAGCTGTTGATGGTTGTGCCGCGCATTCAGTCCGACATTTACTCTTGTTTCAAAGTCTGCGTGGATGTTGCGTAAATACAGATGTTCCGAGAAACAAGATTACTCTTTATGAGTCCAAAGCACAATTGCACTCAACAGGTTGTCAAACTCTAGTTTGTTTCAGAGCGCGTACAAACAGAGCCAAGAGTTGCCGTGGCTTGACAGGTCATCGAGCATACCTCAACACGTAGAGTATGTGATGGTCCAAAGTTCTCCTTCAAAAAAAAGCTGGTTGCAATGTAGCCTTTGACGTACTATTTGCCCCAGACGACGTATGCATTCATTCATCACAGTATTTTATGCCATAACCCGCGATAGTCTAGTCCGTAACGACCTGCTCTAGCCAAGTCTTTCTACCTCCCACGGTAGGCATTCTACAAAGGGGCACCGTACGCCCCCGTGAGAGTTCTCATCAACAGTTATTGTTTCCAAAAAAAAAAAAAAGGAATATCCTGCTGCGTGCAAGAAAATAATGCGTTCCTTTCTTCGAACGCGTGTGGTGTGTTGGCCGGCTTCGACTTGCCGGATGAGTTTTCGTCAACACAAAGTGCACATTAGGATACATGCGTGCACCAACCACAAGGCTCTCTGTTCGACAAGTCGACAGAAATAATGCTGATGACCGCTGGTCCAGTTACTTGACTCTCGCAGAGGAGGTCTGTGTTATCGGGCGTCCGTACTGCCTTCTCGTGGTGGCGATCGACTCTAAGCACAGGCTCAATCCCTGCACCAAGTCGAGCGGACATCTGGACCATCCGTCTTCGGTTGACTTTACACTGAAACGGGCCTGCTTGCTTTAAATTGTTTGCAGAGATCTAGGAAATTTCTCCACCAGTAGAAGAAACACCAAAAGAGGCATTCACGACTCTTTGCGATTATTTGTGTGCCTTGGAGAATGAGCCATCAAACTAGGCGAACGTCGTGATTATTTTAAATCGACTCTGCCTTTGAACTTCCGACCCAACTTGACCGTTACTACTACAACGGAATAGGCTGTGTATGGAAGCCTACGTGATCTCAATAGTTAGCGTGGTAAGTATTTTGGACATTCTTCCCATTGTGACTGCAATTCCCGTGGGGGCTGAAGCAGTTATTATTATGTCGGACAAAGCCAATTCGACTCGTGCAGCAGGGTGGAATTGACGAGCACGGCCGGTATTTCTCGCTATTTGAGGCCACGCGGAGAGCTAGCTGCAGTAAATGTCTTCCAACTGAGGGCATCAAGTCTTGCCTAGAATAACTTTCTGGGGCAAGGCTTGAATCCCTTGTTGCTGTTGAGCTATCCGCGTATCATGAACCTTGCGATCAAATGTCTTAAAGTCAAATGCCCCCTCTAACTCTCCCCGAATGGACAGTAATTGGTCTTGGGCTATTCTGATGTCGTCTGGCTTGTTGTCTTGAACAACGTGAGATTTGACGAGGAGAATCCAGCGATTTTGCATGTCGACTGGGGTTACATCATCCCAGGCTGGTAGTGATGTAATGGGGCTCGGGCTCGGTTGCTGGCCACCTCTAGACTCCAACGGCGCGTAGTCGCCAAGCGGTCTCAGGAAATACTGCCTACTAAGACAAAACTCTACTTCTTCTCGAAAGAACCTGTAGTTTTCTTCGAGGATTTCGGTTTTGAATCTGGTATACGTCAGCTGAGCCGAGCCACTCCAATCCACGGACCCTGCGTACCTATAATTGTTATCCCGCATAATTGGTAGAAGCTTCTTCTGCTCCCATATTTCCACCATTTTTCTCTGACTGAGCCATGGTCTTCCATGGGGAGGGTCTGGGAAGTCTGCCCATCGCAATACGCCAGGCATGCCGTCCAAATCCATTGGTGCTGAGGAGGGTCCCAGGTCTCGATCTTTTACAACCTCGTATCTAACTTGAAGAATACACGACTGGCGGCTGAGGCTTTGATGGAGCTCTTTCCATAGCAATGCCGTATCTTTTCGTAGAGGCTTCTCAATGGATGACTGATTCGTGATACCGCTGGGTCTAGGGGGGCCTTGCAAGTAGAGCACCCTGTTGAGAGTCTCCCAGGGAGACATGGCACAGAAGCCACTTAGCACAGAGCATGCTGCATTGAAATCCTTCTCCTCAATCAATGCAGTGAGAAATAGTTCGTACATGATGAGGGAAATGGCGAAATGGTGCAGAGGCAGCCTTGAGGACTGAGGTGCTGTAACCTTGGCGAAGGAGTAAGTATGTGTTTAGTCGTACGATCTGGGGACAAGGCTTCCTCCACGTTCAACGGATAAATATTAACAAGGGAAAGTGGCATAATTTTCTCTCGCTGAGGATTACTTTTTGTTGCGCGAGATCTCTGCGAAGCCAAACCGTTCACCGTTCATGTTTGCCGTGGGACAAATGGAATGACATGTCCACTCAGCACGTGATCCCGCGTTAAGCGACTCGCGTGCATCCATTTTCCCTCGCGTTGTGGCTGCATTTGGGACAGGACTTTTGCCTCGCCACCACATTGCCTGGGTCTCACAACGCTGATTGACTGTAATTATATTTGGAGGAACAGCTACGACTTATGCTACTCTGCAAGAGCCAAATTTCCCCAACATGGCACCGCCACCTTCCACCATTAAGCGGAAGGCTGAGGAAGCACCGATTTCACCCCCTCCTATCAAACGGTCTCTGCAGAGTACCACCACTAGTAGGTATTCATTCATATTCCTCAATGTAGTTGCAAGGGCCCGCTGACTAAACTATTCAGAGTCCGCGGTGGCCAATTTCTTTACTCCAACCTCGCAGAAGCCCAAGGATCGAACGACTTGGTCTGAACGCGGACCAAGCGACGATGTTCCTGCCACGTTGCTCGTCGGTCGATATGTACCAGATGCACACGTTTCTGGAAAGAAGCCTAAAAAAAGGATCGCTGCATTCGATTTAGACTCGACATTGATCGTGACTAGCTCTGGGAAGAAGCATGCGGGTGATGGGAGAGATTGGAAATGGTGGCACCCTCACGTTCCTGGCATTCTCCAAGAATTGTCCAAGGAGAAGGACTATCAAGTTGTTATTTTATCCAACCAGGGTGGACTTGCGTTGAATTTTGACCCGTCATCCAAAGGCCCAAAAGGAAACGCCCAGAAGCGAGTTGCCGATTTTAAGCAAAAGTGCAGTGCTATTCTCGCTAGCCTGGACATCCCAACGACTATTTACGCCGCGACCGAAAGGGATGGATACAGAAAACCCAACACAGAGATGTGGAAGGAAGTTTGTGAGGACTACGACATTCCAGAAAACGAGGTGGACCTGAAACACAGCTTCTTCGTAGGAGATGCGGGCGGCCGAGTTGCTGGTCTCGGCCGTTCTGGTGGTGACGGCGCTGCGTCAAAGGCCAAGGACTTCAGCTGCTCAGATAGGAATTTTGCCCACAATGTAGGAATCGCTTATAAAACTCCCGAGGAATATTTCTTGGGTGAAAGCCCTAGAGATTTTGTTCGAGACTTTGACGTGGCAAAGTTCCCATTTGACGATGGGGGGACTTTGTCTGATGGACTTTTTCATGTCTTCGAGCGGAAGAATGACAAGGATGTTGTCTTATTCTGTGGTCCGCCGGGAGCTGGCAAGAGCACGTTCTTTTGGAGGTATCTCAAGCCATTAGGATACGAGAGAGTCAACCAGGACACTTTAAAAAGCCGGGATAAATGTCTTCAGGCCGCCAAGGAGCTATTGCTCAAGGGGAGCTCTGTCGCTGTTGGTACGTGTACACGACAACCTTGAATTCTTTGTGCTTCGTTGAGCTGATGAATTGTTAGATAACACCAATGCTGATCCCGATACGCGGGCATTGTGGGTAGAGGTAGCGTCCAAAGCAAAGGTTCCTATCCGATGCGTTTGGTTCAAGACGCCATTGTATATTTGCGAGCACAATGATGCCGTTCGAGCCCACAACAGGTCATTGAATCCGGAGGCAAGACCACGCTTACCAAAATTAGCCTTCACGGGCTTCTCCTCAAGATATAAAGCACCCCAAAGCAAGGAGGGATTTCAAGATATAGTAGAAGTAGACTTCAGGTTCATGGGAACGAAGGAAGAGCATGCTGTATGGGCACGGTATTGGACGTAACCGCACGTTCAGAAGCACGAATGTCAGCTACGAAATCGATTTTCAGAGCCCAAAGCATGGGATACCTTGGATCCCCGGCGTCCAGAACGATACTTTTGGCGAACCCAAGTTTGGGTTGACAATGCACGACGATGACTTCAGCGGCTTTCTTGGCAGCGTCCGGTATATCTGAAATAGCAGTAAGGCGAGGTCACCGGACATGGTACGCATACCGGCTCCATAATGTGCCGAATTGACGAGAAATGCTTGGGGCGACAAACTCTCCAACAAGCGAAAATGAACCGGATGGCGTTGGCCGGGGTTTAACTACAACGGGGCAGTAAGCAAAGAAAGAGTTTAGGTCTGCTGCCCCTCGCTGACATACTTTGACAAGTTGCCGTCTTGCCCGAAGGCATCTGATAGGGAGCCGCATAGGATCGTCATGAAAGGTCACTGATGCAAGTCAATTTGATGCGGCTCCAGTCTGGGCAGAGCGCCCCGAGCCTGGGCATGGCATGATGGCATACTTGGCGTGATAAGTCACGGTCAAAATAAATAGTATATGGAGACGAAATTTGACTCTCATCAACCCAGGCATTTTGCACACGAACCAATGTTGGACTGTCAATTGGTAAGTTGCCACCTCGAATGAAGCCAATATCTGGGAACGACAAGACAAATGGCATAGAACCGTAGTGCGACACTTGGATTTCGTGCAGCGTATGACGCAATCTTGGCGTACACGATATCCTTATTGTGGCGGAATTGGCGACTCTGACTTACCCAACCTGACAACTATTGGTTGCAAATGCGAAGATACAAGCATCACGCACGAAACCTGCAGGGTCGAACGTGTTGGAAGCACCCAGGTTATTTGTCATGGTTTTCGAAGACGACACAATGTCATTGGGTTGTGGCAAACCAGCGTCCCCTCAACGTCGAACCTGCGGACCAAGGTCGAGACAATTGGCAAATCACAGGCGACGTTGGAGACGCTCCCAAGTCGACAGTCCAATAGCATCATTGACGAGACCGGTTAACAATGACTTGCGCGCTCTGCGGAGGGAGCCGAGGCGAATGGGGGGTTTTGAAGAAACGACCAACACCGGCAACTGTCAGCGAAGCAGACCTCGACGCCGGACGTTGGCCGAGATATAAATTGTGTCAACAACAGCGGGCCCCGCTGCATGACGGCCGAGGCGGTGGCTTGTCGAAAGCGGCTGTTTAAAAGCCCCAGATTCAAGAAAATGGCGGCGGGCTGGGTTGGGTGTCCCTGGGGTCAAGATGCGGACGGTGCGGAGGCGGCCGGAAATGCCTACGTGCACGACTTTTGTCTTCAGCCTGATATGATATCAGGCAGAGCTGATATCTAGACCCGGAGGAGATGACGAGGTTGACCAATGCCGTCATCTGTGGGCTTCCAAAGGTTTGTTGGGGGTGTCGAGCTGAGAAAAAAAAAAAGAACCAACCGGCCTGTGTTTCCGCGAATGCCGACGTTGGCAACTCGCCATCGTCTGGTTCGAGTCAGCTAGTCGAGTCAAGGGTCAACCGGTGGGCTCACATCACATGGCCTCATGCGTCGCCGGCGCATCGTGACGATGGACCGTGCTCGAGAGTTCCCCCGCGCCCGCGCCCGCGCTTCGACTGGTCGCGGGCGGACTCGTGGAGCCGTGGCTCGAGTTGATTCTGGCACCCATCTGGAACACTCGAAGGCCGCGACGCCGTCCATGCCCCGGAGTACGCCCATACGGAGACCAGGGGACAGGGGACAGGGTTCATGGACGACGAGACGAGCAAGCACCCTTGTCCCTGTCTTGTCCATGCCAAAGCAAGGGAAGCCCTCTGTCGGCGCACGCATCGATGGCCTGCCTGCCGCCCCGCGCCTCTTCGTCTTCGTGCTGCAGAGTCTTCAACACCGTGTCCCGTGGGCCATGGCACGACACGACATTCGTTGCTTCACCCAGTACTTGCATCATCCCTGGACAGTTTCGCATGCCAACTCGGATCCTTTGGCTTGCTGTGGCTGAACTTGTCGCCCTGGCTGCCGCCGGTTCGGGTGCTGGGGACGTTGCCTAGTTTAGATTAACTTATAAGCCAGGCGCACCATGACTGCCCGCCGCCGTTTCGTCAGCAGACGACGCGAGGCGAGGCTGTGAGGGAAGCGTGCTTGCTTGCTGGCTTGCTTGCCCACAGACTTTTGCATTTCTCCAAGCTAATAAAACCCCTGCCTGGTTTGGAAAAGGCCTGCGACTTCGGGCTACTCGGCCCTGTTGGTTTCCCCAGACCTCGGACCCCAGAAAATTCCCCAGGATAAGAATCTCGCAATGCCCGCCTACTATTCTCTCGCGCAACGACTTCTGCCGCGTACTGTCAAGAAGTAGTTCCGCGTCCCTGTGTTTCTGAAAACCGGCCGCCCGTACGCCTCCCTTCTTCCTCTCGTCCCCTGAAGCCAAGAATCTTCCTCGGACACTCCAGCACGACACCACACCACAACACAATGGCAGGTGGCGTGAAGAAGCCTGTCAACATCTTCCGTCTTGGGGACCTGGGGGAGCCCAAGGGTGTCTTCAACTGGCGCCTGTGGTTTGCTGTGGTGTCGTTTGGCCTCCTCGGCGCTGCTCGCGGGATCGACGAGGGTCTCATCTCGGGGGCTTTCAACTCGGCGGATTTCCAGTCCACCATTGACTACAAGTCCTTCTCTGCCGTCGAGCAGGCCAACATCAAGGCCAATGTGTCGGCCATGGTGCAAATCGGCTCCGTTGGTGGTGCGCTGCTGTATGTGCCATTCCTTATTAACCTCGCATCACGATGCAACGGCGGCGGCATGTCCGCGTGAGCTTCTTTGTACGACAGACACCGCCAGAGTTTCCGGAAATGAGAAGAGAATGGACGCACACCCCTTTGGCGGCGGCGCGCACTGGCTAACGTTTTTGACACACCACAGAGCCTTTCTCGTGTGCGATCGCATCGGTCGCATCATGGCCACCCGCTTCCTATGTCTCCTCTGGGTCGTCGGCATCATCATATTCATGGTTGGCGGCGTCAACGGCAACCTTGGCGCCATTTATGCGGGGAGGTTCATTGCAGGTCTTGGCGTGGGACAGACCCCTGTCGTGGGGTGAGTTGCAGCGAAAGACTTCTTTTGCCCTTGACTCGCGCGTTTCATCCCGGACTTTTGGTGTTGAGGTGCTCGGAAGTCGGTCCTCAGGGTCCAACCCAGCCCGCGCCGCCGCACTCAACGAGCAGCCTCTTGGCCTGCGTCTTGCAAGCCCTTTTTTTTTTATTTTTTTATCAAGTCTTTGCTGACAATCTCGCAAAACAGCCCCGTGTACATCGCCGAGGTCGCGCCCGCTTCCGTCCGCGGCTTGTGCACCTGTTTCTTCACCGGTGCTGTTTACATCGGCATCGTATTGGCATACTTCACCAACTATGGCTGCAGACTCAACATTCCCAACAATAGCCACAATCAGTGGTTGGTCCCCACGAGCCTGCACATCATCATGGCCTGCATCATCTTCATCCTGACCTTTATGCAATACGAATCTCCCCGCTTCCTCGTCAAGCAGGGCAAGAACGAGAGGGCTACCCATGTCATGGCCCGTCTGCGCAAGCAGGAGCCCGACAGCGAGTATGTTGTGCGCGAAATCGCAATCATCCAGGCCGCCCTGGACCATGAGCTGGAAGCCAGCAAGGGGGTCGGCTGGGCCGGCAAGCTCAAGGAGATGTTCCTCGACAAGAGCAACCTGTACCGTGTCTACCTCGCCACCATGGTCCAGTTGCTGTCTCAATGGTCCGGCGCCGGTTCCATCACCCTCTACGCCCCCGATCTGTTCAAGATCCTTGGCATCACCGGCAGCGAGGAAGGCCTCCTCGTCACCGCCGTGTTCGGCATCGTGAAGCTCGTTTCGGCAATCGCCTGCGCCCTCTTCCTGGTCGACGTGATTGGTAGGAAGCGCGCCCTGCTCACAGGCATCACCCTGCAGGCCGTTTCCATGATCTATGTCGCCGGGTTTTTGACGGCCGTTCCTGAGCTCGGCACGGTCGAGCACTACGTCCTGCCCGCTTCCAAGGTCCCCGCCAGCCGCGGAGCCATTGCCATGATTTACGTCTCGGGCTGCGGATGGGCTCTCGGATGGAACTCGATGCAGTACTTGCTGACTGCCGAGCTGTTCCCCCTGAGAATCCGGGCTCTGGCTACCTCGTGGGCCATGACCCTCCACTTTGCCAACCAGTACGGCAACTCCCGGGCTGTGCCCAACATGCTGCTTCCTACTTCTGATGGCGGCATATCCCCCATGGGCACCTTCTGGTGCTTCGCGGCAGTCACCATCCTGGGCGGCATCTGGGTCTGGTTCTCCGTCCCCGAAACCAGCGGCCGCAGTCTCGAGAGCATGGATCGCCTGTTCGATCTCCCCTGGTACAAGATTGGTCTGTACGGCAACCGGGACGCCGAACAGCAGGACATGGCGTACAGCGAGAAGCAGCGTATCGCGGAGGAGACGCACGGTGCCGGGCAGCACATTGAAGAGAGGAAGACCGTTTCGTAGACGATGCATGATGCCCCGTTTTGTGACGGTAGCCCTTTTTTTCATTCTTTTCTACTCGAGACAATTCACTCGTCGCTGCATTAAACTTGTGCGCGGAGGTTTCGCATTCCTCTGCCTCTCCCTGTGACTAGTGGCTAAGTAACCAACTTTCCGCGCGAGAAAGGTTGAACTGGAAACGCCCTCACGACGTCGTGTCTGGCCATCGACCGCCCGGGCACCGTCGACACAATGCCAAAGTAAGTAGGCTTCCGAGACCCGAGACACAGTAAATAACCTTGGCACTCCATATTTCAGGCCACAAACCTTGATCCCTCAGTCTGAACCGCCCACATGGTGACATGGCAAGGCGTCTGCCCCTCCTCCCTACCCCCGCATGAGTTACCCCAGTTTGACAAACGAGAAACGCGGCAGAAGACTATGGAACCATGATCCATTCCCATTCCACCCAGGGGCCCCGGTGGACCTGAGTCATGCCGGATAGGCGGGTACATGAATCAGATCGACGACTGCCAGCGAGCTCGGCGACGGCGCCGTGTACTCGGCATCTCCTTCGGAAACATGGAAATCGTATCACGCGCAAGCGCAAGACGGCCAATGGGGCATCTCATCCATGCACTCTGAGTCACTAGTGTCAGTCGACTGCCAAGTACCCGCGCGTTGCGAAATATCACCGAGAATCATGCGCTGGCTGTATGTATGCTTCCGGAAAGCTGGCGCTGGCCCTCCTGGCGTGCGCATTTGCGAGTGGACACGTGGGAGACGCCCGGGCAACCAGGGGGCTTGGAGCTGAACAAGGGGCATGCGAAGACGGGGCAGATGATTCTCCTCCCAGTCTGGTGGCTTGATTTTTTATTTTTTATTTTATTTTTTGGTTTTGCTCTCGTTGCCGCACTGAGACTGAGACGGTGGACATGCAATACACGGAGGACGCCGGAGAAAGTTGGAGTTGGGTTTCATCGAGTGACGAGGAGGTGACACGTATCTAGGGCTGCGTTTGACGCCGGCATTCACGTCCGCCGCCTTGTTGTGGGATCGCTGATGAAAAAAGGGGGCTTCTACTCTTTGCCCGGCGCGCGCGTTTCTCGAGGCTTTCGGGGTCAGCCCCTGCGCAGGCGCCTCGACGGCGCGTCTTCCGAGCTGCGGCCCGGGCGCGGCCCGGCTGGTCGCTGGTCGCTGTCCTCTGGAGAAACGTCAAACTCAAAGGGCACTTGTCCGGGCTCGAGGGCGCTCCACGCGTCGTAGGCGACGGGCGTGACGGGAGACGGCGAGGCTTGTCGTGGCCGACGGGCGTTGGGCGCGGATGACCCCGCAGGCGACCCGACAGGCTCCTGCGGCGTGAAGAATGGAAATGAAGTGTTTCTAAGGTCTGGCTCTGACGATTCGGAAAGCAAGCGTATCGGAGACGCTGGCCTCTGCGCAGCACGGGGCGACTGGGCTGGTTCGACGTACCAACGGGCTCGGCGGGCGCGGCCGCGGCGAGATGCTCTTTCAAGCCCCGGCGGAGGTGATGTCGCGGGCTCCTCCTCCTCGTCGTCGGCAAGTGATCCGTCGTCGTAGCTGTGGGAGACGACTGGTGAGCCCCTTGGCGGCGAAGGCACGCTCCCTTGATCCCAACTCGGCTGTCTCAGGGGCGACGACACGGAGGGCTCGAAATCCGGGCGGCTGGAGCTTGACGCCCGGTCGATGATGGTCTTGCGTGACCGTCGTCGAGTCCCCTGGGCCTCGTTGTAGTCGAGTCGTTCGCGCGCGGCCGAAGGCGCGTCGTGTAGGGGGCTGAGATGGTCCTGGGAATCCTGCTGCTCCATTTGTCAAGCGAGTGCTATTCTTTGCGTCGGCTGTGTGCTGCTGCGCTGTCAATGGCATGACTCACACGAAGAGCGCCTCGTGCTGTCGTACGCGCCGGGCCGGGCCTTTATATATCGCCGCGGGACGTGATGTTGTTCGCGGAACGGCCAAGGTGCCTGGTCTGTCTGCGTGACAAACGAGGTCGCGACGTGCGGCTCAGTCATGGAAAACAACGACACAACCGGGCGGTTCCATTTCCAACAGACACGTCGGGCTGAGACGTGAATTTTGGATCGAGACTTGCCTTGGGCGAATGCACATGCTGGTCAAATGTGTACCACCGGTACGACTGGCAAACAAAGCCAGTGCACAGTCCTAGACCCGCCATTCAATGAGTGAGCACGCATTCGAACGGACAAGGGGAGTTGGAGAGACGTATGGCGATTGCTTTCACTACCTGTTTGGCGCGCAAAACGCCGGTGAAAAGGAAGGGTGTTGCCTGCGTGTGTGGGAGACAGTGAGTGGGTGAATCAACGCGAGCAGCTCTGGACGAAACACAGCCAGTCTGCCGTGGATTTCGCAGGATAACTGGCAAGACTCACGCATTCCACTTCATCTTCACATAAGCTGCCTCTCACAGTATCGTCAAGCGTCGTGTGGTGGAGATGCCGGTCGAACTGGCGGACCAGGACGGTAGCGGCCAAGTACATCTTCGCACAGGCAAGGCTGCGGAGGACATGTTGGCAGAGTTTTCGGAATCGAAGAATGACGATACGAGACATGCGAAGGAGTGACACGGAAGAAGTTGGACTTGCTTGATGCTCGGACATTGCCTGCTCCCCTTCCCAAAGCTGACGAGATCTCTATCCAACCCGGTGTCTTTCCCACCAGACTGACCCGATCCAACGATCCGGCTTGAAGTCCTGGGGCTCGGGAGATACCGGTGGATGCAGTAGAATGAAATACGGTGCTTGCGACACCGGTAGGGCAGAGCAACAGGCGCCATAGCAAGACGTCAACCGGACGTGTGATGATGACCGCGGCGAGCAGCAGCAGCAGCAGCAGCAGCAGCAACAGCAATGGAATGGGCTTGCCAAGCAGACATTGCTGCGGCCATGCGGCCATGTCATCGACTCTGCGGCGGCTTCCACGCCGAAACCTGAGGATGTGGTATCGGAAAGGGATGGATGGATGGCCGGGATTTTGTAGTTGATGCACCCACCATTTTCGCCTTTATTTGGCACCACAGTCCGCATTCGTTGCTGTACAGCCTGCGACGACCAAGTCTAGGCTACCAGTTCATGGCCATCAGGAGATGCAAGACAGGCCCTGGACGAGTCGACTGTTGCCAACGGGCTGGTGGGCTAGGTGACTTGGTGTCGGTCCCCTGTCTCGAAGGCTTGGGATCGACGTCCGCTCAAAAGATTGACACGCGGCATGTTTGCGTGCAGTCTGCCACTAGTACGGAGAGGCAGGGCTGTACAGTCCATCGAGCAAGTGGGCGAAGCTTGGTTGATCTGGCTCTGGCGGGACCCGAGGAGGTGCGACGAGACGAACTGCAACACAACACTCATCGCGGTTGTTTTCGTTTGCGTGCTTGAAAAGCCTTGGAACATGAGATTCATTCACTCAGCCTTGGCGGCCGAAAAATCGACTGTCCAGGCCATGCGACCGTCGTGACTGGTGACATCTCGGCCTCCCCCGTCTCCATCCATCTCAGCGTTGGCCGTTCCGGGGTGTGATGCTTCCAATCCTCGGCTCCCATCAGCGCCTCCCACTCGCACGAGTCTGCCCCAAGTCACTTGTCTGGCCTCTGGCGAGTGCCGTCTCCGTGGCTTGATGCTAGCTCGGCCTCATTGAACCCTAAACCGACTTGGCGTGGCACGACGGCACTCCGGCGGACTCGTGGTCGCGCATACAACGGAGAGTCTCTGCTCCTCCGCCGGGGCCGCACGGGTCGTCTTTTCATCGCAGCTTCGTGGCCGTCTTCTGGCATCGGCGTTGCCACAGGTCCGACCATCGAGGACGGGACAGGGACATGTCGGACGTTTCAAGGGGCGTCGCCGGGCTGCCCGCGCCGCATGCCGACGAGGCGAATGCGCCCATACAGGCAGATGCCGAAGTACGTTTGCTCGAGCCTCGGGGCCCGGGGACGTGGGATTCCTTGCGAGTCGGTCCCGCGGCCAGGCCATGCATACACACATGCGGATGCTGCAGCGGCAAGGTCCAGCTGACATGAACATGCTCGATTCCGCAGTCGGACGAGGCGGCCAGCGATTCGCATTCCGACTATTCCGAAGTCGCCTCGCACACGACGAGTCTGCGATCATCCGCCTTCGACTACACGTACGAAAATGGCCGACGATACCACGCCTACCGAGCCGGGCAGTATCTCCTCCCCAACGACCTGGAGGAGCAGGACCGACTAGACATGACGCACCACGTCTTTCGGCTGACACTCGACGGGGAGCTGTGCGTGACGAAGCTTGACCATCCTCAGGAAATCCTAGACATTGGGACAGGCACGGGGATGTGGGTATGTGCGTGACCTGCGCTTCACCTCCTCGTCCGCCTGCCTGCCTGCCGTCATCCCGACTCCACACACAGGCAGTCATGTACAAGACGACATGCTGACCGTGACTGCGTGCGTCTGCAGGCCATCGAGATGGGTGATTTGTATCCATCCGCCGACATCGTCGGGACAGACCTGAGCCCCATACAAGCAGAGTGGTCCGTAACACGTCCTCGTCTCTCTCCCCCCTGCGTGCGCGCAAACAAGGCGCCGCCTGCGCATTGCTGACAAGCCGTGGCCGGCAGGGTTCCCCCAAACGTACGCTTCGAGATTGACGACGCCTCCCTGGAGTGGACGTTTCCTCTCCAACACTTTGACTTCATCCACGCGAGAACCCTGGCCGGGGCCATCCGGGACTGGCCCGCGCTCCTGGGACGATGCTTCAAGCATCTCAAGCCGGGCGGCAAGGTCGAGATCTCCGAGGGACGCGCCGACTTCTTCTGCGACGACGGCTCGCTGGCCGAGGACACGGCCACCCACAGATGGCTCTCGGAGTTCCGGAGACTCGCGGCGCCCCTGGGCTTCGACATCGCCCCCCAGCTTCCGGACATGCTGAGGGACGCGGGATTCGCCGACGTCGCCTACGCCCAGAAGGTCGTGCCCCTGGGGACGTGGCCCAAGAACCCGGCCCTCAAGGAGATTGGCCGCTGGTTCCGCGTGCAGTTCCTCGACATGGCCCTCGAGGCCTACAGCCTGGCCCTCTTCACCAGGTTGGGCGGCTGGTCCAACGACGAGGCCCAGGTCCTGTTCGCCATGGTGCGGAACGAGCTCAAGACCAGCAGGATCCATCTCTACACCTACACGTACGTAAACCCCCCGCCGGATGCGGTGCGGCCATGCTGAGTCTGGAGACGCAGAGCCTTTGTCACGGGAACAAAGCACGCCGACGCGCCATGACGGACGTGTTGGAGATGCGACAAGGCGCCGGGCCCCTGTTGCGCCTCGCAGCGTCTGCGTCCTGACTCCTCGACGCTGTGCAGGCCGCTCGCGACGTGTGCCATGCTTGCAAGCTTCTTGAGATTGAGGCGGAGGCGAGACCGGGGCGGAAACCAGATGCGGGAGTTGCTCGACGGCGTGTTCAGCATGACGAATCGAGAGCACGGCGCTTACGGCCCTTGGGAACTGCCTTGGCATCTCACCAAACACGTGCTGAGACGGGAGCTTGCTCCGTTGCCGCCGATGTATCGGTCTGTGACTTGTCCAAGATCAGTGTCGGGAAACCGACAAGACGGAGCCCGTCGCTCGTCACCATTGAACCGTGGTCTCCCACGAGGCGCAGGTGTATACAGCATACGCCGGGAAAGCCAAGCCTACATGAATCATTTTGCACAGACTGCAAACCAGTGGACCATGCGGGCAGTAGATGGAGAGCAACGCGACGTTTGGAAGCCCAAAGAATTGTTTGTAGGCAGAAAGTGTACGGCCACGGCTCAGGTCTAATCAGAATCTCGGTGTCGACTGCGGCAGTAGAGTCCCCAGGTAGTCAACCATGCGCTTCAAGTCAAGTCTCGTGATTTCACAAAGCTGGGCACCCATTTGAAGCGTTGCAGAATAGTCCAAGATGTTCTTGACAACATGACACCATGGCACAAGACAGTGCAAAGGTAGTGTAAGATGGTAGTAAGTGTATACGTATTCCGCAGAAACCACACCCTTGCTTCATAGCACACAAGGCACATGGCCCCAAGACTCACGGCCAGACGAGGTCGCTCGCTGCATGCGCAGGACTCCCAGGCAGAGAAGGGTCTCGCGGAAAGCCAGGGGAAAGCCAGGGGCGACGTCCAGCCCAGAGAAGTTGGACTGAAGAAGCAAGAGGCGGTGCTGCGTCGGTCCATGGGACGAGGGGAACAGGTTCCTTGCCTGGCATTCCATCGTCGCCGCCGGCGCAGCCTCGCCGCGCGTCTTGTGTCGACACGGCCGCTCATCCGTCCTGATGCTGCGACGGCTCCTCAGCCGAAAGCGCGTCTTCAGACCTCGTCCTGCTCCCGTCCTCCCCCCGGCCTCGGCCTCGCGTCTTCCACGGCCGGCACGCTCGACCTCGGCTGCTTCTCCGGTTCGAAAATGGCGTCCATCTCTTCCAGGGTCTTGCCTTTTGTCTCGACCCAGAACACTGCCTGGGATGGAAATCAGCCTTTCGCCGCCGGCGCTGCTCGCGAGAACGACCCCGCCGTCGGCCGGAACTTACGATGAGGAGAAACGTGATGACGTCCCACGATCCTTTAATCATGTACATTCTCCAGCCGATGGTGTCGAGGCCGATGGGCATGACGAAGACGAGCAGCATGCTGCGCCCGGTTAGCCCACTCCCGTCCACACCGAGAGAACAAGCAGGCAGGCAGGCAGGCAGGGCAGGGCAGGGCACTCACGCCAGACCGTTGGACGTAAACGCCGACAAGGCGACGCCGTTGGCCCGAGTCGGGTAGTCCATGACCTCGGGCGGGTAAAGGGGCAGCAAGGGCGTCCAGGCAACGGAGTAGAAGCCCTGGAACAGAAACATGACCGCGACGTCGCCGTAGACGAGGCTCTGCGGCGCGCCGCCCGGGTCGTCGGCGTACATCTTGGAAAGACCGCCGATGACGAAGAGGCAGGCCGTCAGCAGTGCCTGCGAGACGAGAGCCGTCGACTTCCGTCCCCACGAGGCGGCGAGCTGCGTGCCGGCGAGGCAGCAAGCCAGGCACCAGACGTTCAGGACCACGTTCTTGCCGAGGTCAGTCAGCCGCCGGGGCATACATACATGCCGCGAGCAGGTTCAAGCCGGCCGCGGGCATCGTGGGACGGCTCACTCACAGCCTTGAGTTGGTCGCTGGGGCTCGTCACTCCCGCCGTGGTCAGCTCGCTCCCGAGATAGTACGACGCGATGACGTTGCCGGCGACGCACGAGAACGGCCCGGCAGAGGCGCCGACGAGCACCCGTCTCCTCGCCACCGGGTTCCTGGCAATCTCTACGGGGCTCATGGCCCGGGCCCGCTTCTTCTCCCGCTCCAGAGTGTCGAGGATCTCGCGGTAGACCGCGCTGGCCACCGGATCGGCCACGTCGCCGTCGGCGTTGGTCTGGGCCACGACCAGCCGAGCGTCCTCGTAGCGGTCCTGCCGGACCAGCCATCGGGGGGACTCGGGCACAAAGGGGAGGACGAGGACGCAGACGAGGGAGAAGACGCTCTGCAGCAGGGACGGACACCGCCACGCCCACGTGGAATCCCACCTGCCCGTGGCGAGGGTGACGCCGGCCGCGACCAGGGCGCCGACGTAGTAGAAGTTGTTGAGCAGCTTGGGCCGCGCGTCAGCCAGCGTCGAGCCAGGAGCCTCGACGGGAGGACGGGGACGGGGGATACATACGCCGACCCCCCAGGGGCGCCAGCGACTTGAAAAGGTCTCGCTGAGATAGACGGGGGCGGCGACGTAGCTGATGCCGCCGCCGAAGCCGAGGACGATGCGGCCCACGACGAACATGGCCACGTTGCGCGCGGCAGTCTGAAGGGCGACGCCGGCAACGGTGATGACGGACGCCCAGAAGAGCGCCGGCCGGCGCCCCAGACTGTCCGACATGACTCCGCCGGCCACGGGGCCGAAGAAGCCTCCGATAAAGATGGAGGCCGTGTTGAGGCCCCGCGTCGCAGACGTGAGCCCGAAGTAATCGGCGTACGAGGGCAACATGTTGAGCCCGTTGAGCATGGACCCGTCGTACCCGCCGGTGGTAGATTGGGCCACGGAGCAGAGCAAGAGCAGCACGGACAAGGTCGACGTGGACTCTGGGATATACGACGGGAGCCAAGTCCCGGACGGCGTTGGTCGCAGCATGGAGAGCCCAACGACGCCTCCTGCTGGGAGCGTGCCTCGACGTCTGTCGCTGTAGAAGTCGCCGGGGCGGGACGGGGAGGAGGACACGGCCGTGTGAGATGCGATTCGGACGTGGCCACGCCCCGTCATATAGTGTCTGCTCGTTGCTCCCTCGCCTCCTCCAGTTCAGGCTTGTCGACTCGGCGACAACGAACTGGCGAGATGCGACCCGACGGCAACTCGCGGCGACGGCGACGGCAACTCGGCAAGGAGACTCGCGGCTCCCATCTCTCATTGGGGCACAGGCCTGCTTCTGCTTGTCTCTGTCTCGCAGGACATGTTCCCCTCGCAGGGCAGCGACGCTTCTGCGCGAGACACTGGAAAGTCTGTCTGATCCGCGACGCCTCTACACCGCCAGGCCGGTCCGTTGACAAGGCGCGAGAGAGCCGGCCGTCCACCATCGCCGCGTCATCGGCCCAGACGTCGTTGTCTCTGCTCTGCGTCAATGTCCCGAGACCTGGCACACGTGTGCGACCTCGTTACCTGCTAGCGGGGTGGCGCCTCACGAGGACGCAATGGACATCAAGGCGCGTGCGTGCCGAAACTTGATTGACGTGTCGAAATCAGCGTCAGCGTCAGCGTCGTCGCCGCGGCGGCGCCCCCTCGAGGCCTGGATTCCCATCCCCGTCCTGCTGCCCGGCGAGCAGCGGCCCTTCTTCATCTCGGAATCGGGAGACGATCCCACGATCCCACGGCCGGCGGCTCCGGCGACGTCACCGGGGGCTGGCGCGGCTTCTCCGCCGTCCCGAGTTTCAGGGCACCACCGGCGCCGTCGAGCAGGGGGACCCGGACGTCGAGTCCGAAGTCGTGCTGCAGGTCGGTTCCGGCTATGCCGTCCTCGCCAAGTCGAGGAAGTTGTGCCACCACGAGAGCGGTTTCACCGAGCTAGGCCTCCAGCCGAGGTCGGCAGACGTGGTGGTCCCTGACGCACTGGTCGTCAGTATTGGGTGTCTGGAGCCGGACGGAGCTGTACGACGTGGCCAAGGGATGGATGCTGGCCCTGACTCCTGGCGGCGTTGACCGCGACCTGGGTGAGATTGGGCCGTGGCATAACCCGGCGGCCCATGTGGCCCTTTGACAAGACTTTGACAAGGAGCCGGACAGGATATTGGGGCAAGGCGCACGTCGGCCTCTCGAGGCTTTGCAGGGACGCTGACTCACTACTCGCTACTCGCTCTGTGCCGGGCTGAAGGAATCAACATCACGACGTGAAAGTCTCCGGCGTGTCTCGGCACCTTCAAGGACAGACTTGATTTGTACCTACTACTCCAATAGTCGGCCATCTGGCCGGGGCAGATGCAGCATGTGGGTTGGCCAGTCACGTACAGACGCCGCCATCCATAGTACATACATACACATACGTACATACGTACATGTGTAATTTCCTTGACTCGCGCATCTGGGCAGTGGGCACAACCCGGTCCGGGTTGCTTTGTTCAAGTGGAACGTATTCTACACCGCATCATCTCCGCGATAGGCCCACCTCCAAGCCCAGCGGCTTTCGCAGAAATCCTTCTCTGGTCTTCATCGGCCCCTGCCGCGGAGTAACCTCGTAGCGTCTTGCCCACGTAGCCAGGATCAGCCTCATCTCCATCTCCGCTACGTTTCGCCCGACGCAAGACCTCGGCCCGTGGCTGAAAGGGACGAAGGCGTTCTTTTGCCTAGCCGTGACCTTTTGCCACCTCTCGGGCTTGTACTCGTCCGCGTCCTCTCCCCAGATCTCCTTGGAATGATGAATCGTGTAAGTGGGCACGCTGAGAACGGTACCGCTGGGGAAGAAGTGGCCCTGGATAGTAACGCCAGGCGACTCGGGCGGAACCTGGCGCGGCAGCCCAATGCCAGATGTACAGTGGTGACGCAGGGCTTCGTCGATAACCCACCCGAGATACTCGAGGTCGCGGACCATGTCGTATGTCGGGACGTCAACGTCTTCAGGGACTGACGCGTCAAGCTCGGCTTGGAGCTTCTTCATAACTCGCGGATCGCGAATCAAGTAGTTCATGAGAGCGCAGGAAGAATTGGATGTCGTGTCGCTCCCGGCAATCAGCTGTGTGAGTGCTTCGGCAGTCAGCTCTTCACGGCCAAGAGGTTGGCCGTTGTCGTCTTTGCCTTCCATGAGCCGGGCGAGCAAGTCCTTGCGGTCCACGTCTGGGGGGTTCTCGACCCGACTCTTGACGCGAGCAATGGCTATGCCGGCTAGGTTCTGCACGGCTTTCAGGCCCCGGCTGAAGAAGGGGTCGGGGAGCATGGACGCGTAGGGCCTGAGCGGCGGGTAACAGCCCAGTGTCGCGCTCACTTCTCCTCTTCGGTTCAGAATCTCGATGGCTGGGGCGTAGACGGGTGGGCTATCCGGCGACGACCTGATCTCGGCGACGTCGGCCCGTTTCTCGAGCATGCCAAAGGGCGCCCCGAATGCCAAGTCGCCAATGACATCAAAGGCGAGCAGGTTGAACCACAAGAGTGCGTCAAGGCGGGCTTCCGGCTTTCCACTCTGCGTCTGATGCGGGCTTTCCTCAATCAGCTTGTCAAGCTGTCGCACGAACAAGACGAGGTTTGCGTGGATATATGGCTCGAATTGAACCACAGACTTGGCGGAGAAGGTGTGAGAAACCAACTTTCGCTTCCGAGTGTGTTCGTGCCTGACTCGCGTGTTGAATAGGCCACGGCGAATGGACACAAAGGCATCATAAAACTCGCTATGTCATCAGCGTTAGCTCCTTGTGGTCCCATGTGTTCCGTCTGGTGGGTGGGCGAGGGTCGCAGATGTTGCTCACGATTTCAAAAACCCGTTGCCATGGCCATATATGGTAGCGATGGCTGCATCGTCGGCGATACTGATGTGGTTTGGTTGTATTCGCACCACTTTGCCCAGCTTCGCGTGGTACTCGTCGACGGTTTTGTATCGATCTCCTCGTCGGCATACCGTCAATAACCACAAATTCGAAAATTGCGCTCCGAACGGTGCTGGGATCCCGCGCAATTTTGCATTCGCCACAAAGTAGTCGAAAATATACCATGACAGCACCAGGCCAACAATGGCCAGGCCGACCTGTGGCGAGAGCACCGATTCTATCAGCGCCATGCCAAAATTGACCATCAACTTGGTCTGGAGCAACGTCAAATCAACCTCACGGAATGACGGTTCATGACGCGGTAGTTTCAGTTTCGGCGCCGGAGGACTTCAAGGGCGGGCTTTTTTCCTTTGTCCTCAGTCGCTAGAGATGCCCAGTGACTAGGCGCAAGACGTAAACGCCATGTAGCAGATCGCCATGCAATAAAAGAGTTTTGCCAGCCGGCTTCCTTTTCAGCCCAAGTTCCGACCCCGCAGGCTTCATTTCTGCCTGCTGTGCTTCTGTACGCAGTATTCTTCCGAAATCTTGGCCCACCGCCTCGGTTATCTTATTAAAGACACGGCAAAATATCATGTCTCAATGCTACTAGCAGTGCGTAGTTCCCGGTCCCGGTTCCAAATTACAAACCGCCCTGTGTAACTGGCCTGGAGATTAGACCATCCCCCACACCAGACAACGCGGGGAATGCACTAGTCAGCCGGACGGGAAGAGTGTGGGTTGCTCGGGAATCGACGTCGGCAAGGCCAATGTCTCCTTGTCGACACCTGCCGTACTTGATTGACGTACCAATGACGGCTCGGGTTTTTTGCTAGATCCGTGGCTGTGGCGTGGCGACCTCACGAGTCTGCCTCTATCAGCGGCGTTTCGCATAGTCTCTGCCTGGCTCGCAGCGTTAGCAAAGCAGGACCAATCTGGAAAGGAAAGAAGAGGAAAGGAAAGGAAAGGAAAGGAAAGGAAAACCCAGGGTTTGCCACGTATTTCGCTCCTCGAGATGCTGGCTTGGATCCACTCTTAAGGCAGGCATCCAGCCGTCACCAGCAGCAGTCTACGATCTGGAGCCTGCCTCGCGTGTTTTTTCCCGTGCTTTTTGCAGGGCATTTCAGGTGGCTCCCCCGGCGGCAAATGAATTGGCTTTGGGTCCAGCTGATTCCGGCTGGGGCGAAGAGAAGACATTGCGTCTTTTGTAGCTTGAGTGTTATGACGGTATTGAATTGACTTGCCGACAGGAGGCTGATTCCCAGTTCTAAGCGTCGGGGTCAATCGGTGGCCTTTGCTCCTTCCTCGTCGACAGCGCCTTTAGGCAGTCTACTTAGGTACCTACTTAACCTATGTACCGAGGTACAGCCATCTGCTCAGTCAATAGAGCAACCCCTCAGCGCGTCAAGGTAACTATAGATAGATGGGCACCTGGGTAAGTACCTACTCGGGCAGGTTCCCGGTACCTCGGCAGGGTGTCTCCATGACGGACCAAATGGGATTTCTCATCGTCGCATGATTGCAGATGAGGGAAATCCAGAGCTTTGCGCATCTGGAGCTTCTCCGCGCATGTTTTCGAGCAAGGCTCGTCGACTTTCGGCAGCTTCGCCAACGCAGTAACAACAGTTGGCATGCCCGCTGATGTTCGATTCGACAACGGCCTAAATAAATAGCCAGCCGGCGAATCAGACAACTGGATAATGAAGCCTGCAAAACTTTTTCACCATGCCTCTATGGATGTTTGCTTGTCGACAATATGCATCACTGCTTCTAGAGGCCGCGCTGTCCATTTGATGCGTTTGGTCGGGGAACTGGCATCCGGAACGATTGGAATGCATTATTCCCGACGTGCTATTGTCCAGCCCTCGGCAGCAAAAGAGTGACATGACTGAGGGTCTGAGAAACGTCCACGGCAGAGAGTCGGGCCAGGACGATGCACCGCTACGGTCCATCGCAGTCCAATCCCACTCGACGGCTATTGACCGTGCCTCATACTAACTACATACTACAACAAATCACTTGCTGGACACGGCACGAGAGCAACTCGTGGCAGAATTCAAAGCCCGACCGTATTTCGGAGTGTGCCGTCGTTCGGCATGTGAAGTGGGGGGCCTCGCCAGGGCCCAGGGGTGCTTCCCCAATCTGGACTTGTCCTTTTGCGTGGGGAAATTCTACGACAAACAGGTGGAGTCGAAGTTCGACCGTCCGTCTCCTCTGCGAGATAAGTCTTGAAATTACTTACGTCGTCCTCTGGTCCGTCGCCCGGATGATGCGCTACCTGGATGCCATGGGTAAACGCGCGCGAGGATCGACACGACAAGCAGTTTGCTGCAACGACAGTGTACATGTACCTGAACGTGCCTTCTCAGAATGCCTCGAGTGAAACCGGGCGAACGCCAGAGGGCAATGGCCCCCAAAGTCAGAACTGGTTGCAAAACATGCAAGTTGGTCCAACTTGTCTCTCGCTCCCTTAGCCGCAAACCTTGTGCGAATCTAACCGTCCAATAGAAGTCTGCATACGCACTCGTCCTTTTCCATCACAAGGCAATAGAGTGCTGACATCTGAGCTTAGTTCGGAGGATCAAGTGCGACGAGGGACGCCCCGCGTGTGAAAGATGCAAGTGACCGCTACAAGTCGATTGTTGGAAGAAGGGGGGAAAAAAAAAAGACGCTAACACTTCCTCATAGGCTGCAAGACAGGCCGCATCTGCGACGGATATGATAGTCCTCCGGCAAAGGGCGTCACCACATCGTCTCTGACACTGACTCGCATTGCTGCCTCGTCCAGTACGACCCAAGAAGTTCGAGCATTGCAGTTCTTCGTTGAACGTACTGCTGTGCAGTTCGGAACATTCGTGCCCGACGACTTGTGGAGCAGCCGAGTGCTCCAATTAGCCCATTCAAACACCTGTATACGACATGCCTTGGTTGCATTGTCCTCTTATCATGAGAGATACTGGAGCCATGATGTTGGCGGCGAAACACCATATGGCCTGCGACAGTACAATTTGGCCATCAGTGAGCTTGTTAAATCGGGGGCCGAGCGACCGTCTTATCTCCATATCCAACTGGTTTCTTGCACAATATTCATATGCATCGAGGTGAGAATCGTAGAGTCAGCTGACATTCGACGAATGCAAGGCTGACCTGACCGCTAGATCCTCCGGAGAAATATAAGCAATGCCATATATCTCTTCAAATACGGCTGTAGAATGATCGAGGGAGCTATGAAGCAGGTCAGAAAGGGCGGATACGTTGGTGGTGCTACTGGAATATCAATTGAGCCTGTTATTAGGCTTGTCGAAGCCTTTTTTGCTCGTATATCAACTCAAGTCTTTCTAGTGAGTAGCCGCCTGCTGCCTTCAGCAGGTATCGCAACGTACTAACTCAGGTGAAGGCTATCGGAGGCGATGTTGATCACACTCTCGCCGACATCATTTCGCCCATGCTAAAGCTTCGCATGGTAACCATGACGCACAAGCTTGCACTGTCGTCAATTCAAGAGGCGCGGGATTCGTTGCTAAATCTTGCCTTGCAGTACAGACGCGACATGTCAACGGCGCAGTCCAAAGCCTTGAGTATCAAATTCGACACCTGGATGGAGGCATTTGAGGCGTTTCGCAGGACTGTCGACCGGAACAGCCTGAACTCGACAGAAAAGCGAGCGTTTGCACTGCTAGAACTGCACAAACGATACTTGTATATCAATATCGCGGCATTGAATCAACCCGACCGTGAAGATCCGTCAATGTGGGACTTGTGGACAGACGAGTTCCGCAAAATGGTCGAGTTTGCCACAGAGGCTGGCGGACTTGATGCTGCAGACGCAGCAGCGGGTCAACAACCGCAATTTTATATGGAAATCGGGATCCTGCCAGCACTGTTCTTCCTGAGTTCTAAATGCCGAGATCCAGAGGTGCGACGGCGAGCAATAGAGATCATGGAGACCAATCATATTCAAGAAGGCATATGGAATAGTAAGATGGCGGCCAAGGTCGCCAAGAGAGTCATTACGCTCGAGGAAGGCGAGTTTATCGTCAAGTCGAGCAACGACGTCGACGACCTGGCTCGAGTGCGTCGTGTAGCGGTCCATGCTGGTCCTGAGGTGGCTTATCTGAATGTAGGCTATGAACTGCACTGCGGTTGGGTTCAGGAGGAGCTTGACTGATGGGAAGTTGATGGACCACACGTTGGAGACCCTGACACCAGCGGGGGCAAAATGCTGAGTGAGAAGGCAGGATGACCGAGGGGAACGGCAATGGCATGAACAAAGGCCAAAGCATGAAGTCTCGATATTTGAGGGCAAGAGCAGAGAAGTAAAGAAAAAAGACGCAGCGGTGTCGAGGGGTTAGTGTTGGCCATCTGGCTTTTCATGTACCAAGGGGATGGCTTCTGTCTACCTAGGTAGTGAGTGTGTGGCTCCAAGGTCCAAGGATGCCCCGATTCGTTGTTGGCTCGTCACGGTCGTTTTGTAGTGCTGTTCTTGGTGCATAAATGAGATGGATATTTCAGATATCTGGAATATACCCTGATGTGACTGGCCGGATCGTATGCCGGGGGCGAGGGGGAATGCAAGCCTTGTTACGGGCTCGGTTGAGGGAGGGTATGGAGCGAAGAGGGTCCAGTGATCCAATTGATTTGATTCACAGAACCGTGCACCGTCAAGCCGGGTACTCGCATCGCACGCAAGTCGCAATCCAGGCATAGGCATGCCCTTGCCCAGCGTGTTGTCGCCGCGACAGGCTGGTGGTGTGATGTCCGGACGAAAGATTTGCAGTTCTGGTAACATTGAGCCGCCATCTGAGCATTGGCGGGGCCTTGCAGCGGGCACTTGCCGAGTTGGTTGGCTGATTCGTACGCTCGGCTGGAAGCGAGGCGGCGCGGGCGGACCAGACACGCGCACATTGCACATTCGAAGCTGATTGGTTCGGTTGCCAGAGGACCAGCGCACCAGTGGGCACGGCAACGGCAGTACACGGCAGGCAGTGCCGACGAATGGGAGCCGGGCGAGCTCCAGGTTCTGGCAAGTTTCAACGTTGAGCCAATCAACTGCCCAGTAATCGTGCCCAGCACCTTGTGCAAGACAGGTTTATTTATGCATGGTAAAGTTCACCAATTGCACCAAAATGTGTATGCTCCGAGAGCACCCTTGTACCGCCCATGCAAGCAAGCATCCTCGATTCCATCCACTCCGCAACACCATCCTTCCTGCCTCTATCTTCTGATCTCTTCGGGCCCTTCCATGATGCACCAGCCCCGCAACACTGGGCCTAATGCATGCTACCAAGTCTTCTGACGACAGAAGAACCCTCTCCAGACGACTCTCAAGACGGCTACAAATTGTCATGTGTACTGGTAGCAATGTCGGATAACCCAGCAGTCTAGGAATAGCTGGATCAGGTAGGTGACGATCCTCCCCAGAAAAAACATCCAATGTTGACCCCTTGGCGCCCTCAGGTCGGTACCGGCGGCGCTGGCTTCCCGAACTGTAGCTGGCCGGCATGGATGGACCTGGTCACGATGCAAGCCTTCGTTCAACACAGCGCCCTTCAATGTTACCCCGGATGGAACAAGCCGGCGGGCCCATCCCACGGGGTAAATTTTCAGGAAACATGTTGATTGCCTCCCGCTCCGCATCGTCGCTGGATCCAGCGTGATACCACATTCTTTGCTTCTCTGCTTTTTTGCCTCTGCATCTCGCGCCTGGCCGTTCTTGCTGTATCTTGTGTGCAAAACCAAGATGCGTCTCATGCCCGTGCTGTCGGCCTTGGTCGCTTGCAATATTGGATTAGCCATTACGGAGCTGGACCACGAGAAGATCCAGCGATCATTGGAAGCGCGGACATGGGCGCATGAGACACGCGATCTGAGTAGTCTGCTTGGAGACTTGGAAACGTGTGAGGGCTGCGAGGTATGCGTTCCTGCGTGGCTTTGCCATCTATGCATATGCTTTGCGTAGAGGAAAGAGTACTAACGACACCATGGCTCAGCGCGTTTTGTCCGTCCTCAAGGCCGTCGTCAAGACCGGAGATGATGCCCTCATCGCCCTGGGCAAACGCCTCTGCAAAGACAGCAGTGTCAGTATGAACTGCAAGACGGAATGCTTTTGCGCAAAACCTAATGCTCTGTAGGCTTATGATTCGCAATTCTGCAACGGAGTTGTCGAGCGCGAGGCCCCTTCGATTGCGTCCATAATCAGAACCATGGAAGTCGGCTCTTCCTCTGCTAGACACTTCTGCATGACTTTCCTCGGAGTCTGCAGTGCCCCGGCAATCAATCACTGGAATGTCGACTTTGCGTCCCCGAAGCTTTGTTCAGAAGTCAAGATCAAAAGCGTCGGTGGCCGGAAGCCCATTCAGGTCATTCATTACTCGGACATTCACGTCGACCCTCTGTACGAGAAGGGATCCAACACCAAATGTGGCAAGCCCACATGCTGTCGATCCTACACCGAAGATGACAAGCCCGGCAAAACTAAGAATCCCGCCGGGCCGTTTGGCGATCACTCCTGTGATGCTCCGACTACTCTGGAGAAGAGCATGTACGATTTCATCAAAAAGGAGTTTCCCCACGCTGCCTTCACGCTATTTACAGGCGACATCGTTGATCACGGTCTCTGGAATACCAGCAAGTCGTATAATCAAGGCCTCATCCAACAATCGTACGAGATGATGAATGACGGCCTCAACATTGTGTATGGAGCTACTGGCAACCACGAGGTCCACCCACCCAACATTTTTGAGCCCGAATCCCTGGGAAGCCAGACCCGTTGGGTATATGAAACCCTTTCCAAAGAATGGTCACGCTGGATTGATGGCGCATCTCTGCCAGAAGCACAGGCCGTTGGCGGGTATTCCACCAAGTACCCCAACGGCAATCTTCGCATTATTTCTCTCAACACCAACATGTACTATCGCCTCAACTTCCTTCTGTACCAGAAACAGCTTGAGAAGGATCCAAATGGCCAGTTTGCTTGGCTGGCCAAGGAACTCGATGCTGCGGAAAAGGCCGGCGAGAACGTGTACATCATCGGCCACATGCCAATGGGGGACGCAGACGCCCTACCCGACGGTTCAAATTACTTTGACCAGATTGTCAACCGCTACGCAAGTACCATCAGGGCCATGTTCTTTGGCCACACCCATCTTGACCATTTCGAAATCAGCTACTCGAACTACGCCGAGCGGACTCATGACAATGCCGTTGCCATTTCGTATATTTGTCCCTCCCTTACGCCCACATCCGGTATGCCGTCCTTTAAAGTCTACGACGTAGACCCAGAGACTTTTGCAGTCATCGACGCTAAGACCTACATGGCCGACATGAACGACGAGAGCTTCCAGAACAATGGGCCAACGTGGAAGCAGTACTACTCTGCGAAGGAGGTCTACGGTGAAATCGCCAGTCCCCGTCTTGCCGGCGCCAAAGCAGAGCTATCCCCATCCTTCTGGCACAACGTCACCGTCGCATTCGAGAAGAACCAGACCCATTTCGACGCCTACATGGAGCGCAAGTCCCGTGGCTGGAAAACTGACCAGAAGTGCGCTGACAAGTGTCGACAGACGGAGATTTGCGCCTTGCGTGCTGGCCGTGCCCAGGACAACTGCTGGGTGCCAGTTCCTGGAATTCACTTTTCCAAGCGTGACGGATCGGGGCATAACCACAACAAGCACGACGAGTGTGGCTCTTCCGTCTCCAGGGACATCCTGAGCAACCTTGTGAGGAGACTCGACATGCTGGAGATGCTACAAGAGCGCTTTCTCGCTGAGGGCGCAACAATTGAGCCTATTCTTGTGAGGCGAGAGGAGCCGTCTTCCTCTGCCACTGCCACTCAGACCCAGAATTATTGCGTCGCCGGACCCGAGAATTCGAGCAGTACTGGGAGTGCTACGGGCGGTGTGGCCACTGCTACTGCGGTCAAGGGAAATGCTGCTCGTGGGCCCGGAGCTGCGGCTTTCTGGGCCAGCGGTGTCTTTGCACTGTTGGCTTTGTAGTCTCCAAAACATAATGTCGGAAGTAGAGCGAGGAGTCATGCCGGAATAATGGAAAAGGGCCTCCACAGACTGTAGATGGCTGTTGGACCACGGCTGCAAATACTTGTATATAAAACACGAGATTATATCACTTGCCTCCCGGCGAGGCCCTCCATCAGCAACTCGGAAAGCTGCCTGACACTCGTCTCAGACGTAACTTGACTGGCCATTACGTACAAGACGTTCCCCAGCACGCGACTGTGCACGTTCCAAGGACCGCTCTCTCCGTCCCCTCTGCCCAGACCCAAGTGCTCTCTCAACCCTAGCGCGGCGTTGCTACTATACCCTGCGCCGGCTTCATCCTTCAAATGGATTGCCAAGACGCTCCCCAGTGCCCAGACGCCACTCACCTTGTCCGTCTGATGGGATAGCCGTTCTACAAACTGCCTCGGCCATGTGGACCACACATGGACCTGCGATTCACTCTGGCCAAAAGACTGCGTCCAGCCTTGTTTTTTCGCCCAGTCCCATTCCCCACGATCATCCATACCCTGCATTTCCCTGACAGACTCCCACGCAACCTGGCACCCAATCGGATGCGCGGTGTAACTGTGTCCGTGAAGCAGCGCGTCAGTCTTATCGGGGCTCAGGAAGATTTTGAAGATGCTTTCCGACGCAAGAGTCGTGCAGAGCGGCACAAGACCGCCAGTGAGTAGCTTGGCGTGGACGGAAATGTCGGGGTGCACTCCTAGGAAGGAGGAAGAGGTGAAGCGACCGAGGCGGTAGAGCCCCGTGAAGACCTCGTCAAAGACGACGGGAAGACCGGCCCATTCGTTGGGGTCTTGATCACCAGACGCGGAGAGGGCTGGCTCGCCAAAGAGATGGGGGCATTCGCGGACCGTGTTGACGAGGGTGCGTTGGAATAAGGGGTCCCTTGAGCGCTGTTAGCGGCGCGTTTCGTCTCGAGCGCTTTTAGCGGCGCGTTTCGAGACGGCAGCGTTGGGGGATCACTCACACAAGTTCCATGCCTCCTGCGCCCAGGACGACGGGCTCCAGCATCAGGGCGCCGAACCTGTGACCCTGATCTCTCAGCCGTTGCAGTGTAGACGCGATGTGTGCCTTGTACGTGTCGTGCTCGCCGTTGGCCTCGCGGCCCGCGACGTCGAATATCTCATTCAGCGAACGGTATGCCCTTCCCTCGCCAAAGCTGTCCTGCAGCCCTTCCGGGACGCAAACACTCCATTTCCCGTCCCTGCACAGGATGGTAGGGTAGTCAAGCCAGTGCCCCTTGCCTTGGTACCACTCAATCTTCTCGTTGTAGATGCCCGGCTCGGAGCAATCCATGGCGCCCATGGTGTCGCCGTGATACGAGCCCCTGAGGCCCAGGATGCCCAGTTTCTGTGTCGTGTCCCAGCCGTAGCGCCTGCGCGCCGCCCGCAGACCCATCTTGACGGCGACCTCTATGCCCGTGCTGCCATTGTCAGAGTAGAAGACTCGCTTGAGGCGCGGGTTCTTCATGCCTTCGAGGAGCGTTTCCGCGAGAGCCATGGCGGGTTGGTGGACGGCCGAGGCGAACATGACGTGGCCGTAGCGGCCGGCAGCATAGGCTGCTGCCATTGTGAGCTTGGGGTTAGAGTGACCCAAACCCTGTGTCCACCATGATGCCGAGGCGTCAAAGGACGAACGGAGGACAGGTGTGTCGGGGGACGGGGGCGATGGGGGCGGCGCAAGCGTTTGGAAGTAGTCGCCGTGGGCCGAGTCAATGGCCATGATGTCCTTGGGTCCGACGAGGCTTTGCTGGGTAAACGGGTACCAGATGTGTTGGCTCGCCCGCGTGGCCATTGTGTCCAGGTTTCTCAGGCGAGCGGCATGGTTGCGGTCCAGCGTTCGCAGTACTTGGTCGGTAATTTCAGCCAAGTCCTTGCGATTGTAGTAGTCTTTCATGGCCTCTGCATCTTGCTCCGGGTCATCGTGTTTCTCGGGCGGCTGCAGCACGCTGGCGACGGGGATGCTGTACTGCTTGTGGAAATACTCCTGGAGATAGAGATAGTTTCCATACTTACCATCTTGGAACAGGAGCACAGATTCCACATCGTAGCCGCGGATTCGGAGTGACTCAAACGCCGAAATCGTCTGTGAGATACCCCCGAGCCTCGAGTCACCGACCAGGAGAGACGGGGCTCGCAGGGGGATGTATAAGTCGGCTTGGGTTCTGCCAGATGGTCCAGGAGAATGCACGCCTCCGGCAGTCTCCAAAAATAACCAGCCGTTTCTAGTGGCACACTGGGCGGCAAAGACACGGCACTTGGCCAGTAGTTCGTCGTCTGATGGGATGGGCTGCTGACGAGTTAGCCTTGTTGGTTTTCGAGATGCACTTGGCGGGCCGCTTTTTACTCTTCCGGATGCGATTGCTGCAGCGTGAGGACTGCACGGTACGTCGTACTGGTAGAGCGTGCTGCGGGCTACTCCTGGCGCAAACCGGCTTATATGCCTGGCCGATGAAGTTAGATATAAGCTGCCGTCTCAAGTTGATTCAACGAGCAGTTCATCTATCAAATCTGTAAGCAACGGGAGGGTAGTTGGAATCGACATCTTTTTGGAACGAGGCCGCAGAAGAGACTTACACCGGTCATCAGACTCAGCCCCTGCGCCAGTAGAAACAGGTTTCAGAAAGGCTACATGCTCGTCTTTCCAGAGTTTCTGGACCGTCCGGGCAAGCAACGTCGTGAAGATGGTCTTGCCGACGTCTGTGTTCGCGCCGAAAACCTGGTAAACACGGAGGGAGCGCCAGAGGAGCGAAGCCAGCGGCGACTCCATGATGCCTCGAGCTTCGATTGCAACTGGCAAGCTACGTCCCCGACGCAGCGATGGACAGGAGCAACATGGAGCACCGTCCTTAGGAATTTGGTGTTTTGTTGGGGTTGCCTCCGAGGTACAAGGTACATTGTACGTGGTACATGGTACATGGTACATGGCACTCGGTACATTGGACTTACTAATCGCCCATGTTCATTGTAGGCCCAACGCCAACGCCGGTCCGTCAACCATCTCCATCTCGACAGGGGCTTAGGCCGCCCGCCAAATCCAGCGATGTCCTGACTAGGGCTGAAAGGGATGGGTTGCTTGTTCTATTCTGGCCTCCAGGTAGCCGCTCAGCGTTCTGGTAGCAAGTGCGTTGGCTCCCCCCCGTGCGAGGTTGAAACGACAACTTCTTGGTGGCTCCTCAATTGATGAGTTCTGCAAAAGCGCTGACCGCCGGCAACAGGGACCAACAGCCATGTCGGTTGTCCGAGCATGACTAGCATGGTTTGGCTTGCGCCTCTCCAGGCGATGGGGCCTTGGGCTTGTCCAGCCCACATGTGTCAATGCATATGTGCATCCCATCAGTCGATGGAATGTCGGCATCAACCCTCCCCGACCCGACCTTTTCCAAGGATGGGTCAATTTGGCTTCGTCTCACCTGCCCTGAGTCCCGACTCCTTACCATGAGCCTCCCCAAAACCCGCCTAGACGCCACGTTCGAGTCCCTTCTCGCCCGTCGAGAGCACCAAGGCCGTCTGCGTCGCCTGACTTACCGCGAACCCGGAGTAGTGGACTTCTCCTCCAACGGCTACTTGTCCCTCTCGACAAACTCGGATATCAAGGCCGCCTACTTGTCGCATCTTCAAAGCCCCTCAAATGAATTCTCACTAGGATCGTGCGGCTCACGGCTATTGGATGGCAACACCCCTTCATCAGAGAATCTAGAGTCCCTGATTGCCGGATTTCATGGCGCGTCGGCGGGTTTGCTCTTCAACTCGGGCTTCGAGGCAAACACAGGGCTGTTCAGCTGCGCGCCCCAGCCGGGAGACTGCGTGGTGTACGACGAGTTGATACATGCCAGCGTTCACGATGGGATCAAGTTGAGCAGAGCGCGGGCCATACCGTTTGCGCATAGCTGTGTACGCCCAGGTGACGTACGTGATTCCTCGAAACGGAGACCGCTGGACGTGGTATTGAGTGACTTGCTAAACGGGTCGGATGGCCACGAGCTAAGGAGCGGGCGAGTAAATGTGTTTGTCGCCGTTGAGGGCGTATACAGCATGGATGGCGACGTCGCTCCCCTCAGAGACATTGTTGAATGCGTGGAGAAGCGGCTGTCTCAAGGAAACGGGCACGTAATTGTCGACGAGGCTCACTCGACCGGCTGCGTAGGTGACAGAGGAAGGGGTCTTGTGTGCCAGCTGGGTCTGGAGGAGCGAGTATGGGCTCGCGTGCATACCTTTGGAAAGGCAATGGGCTGCGCAGGAGGTGAGTTCTTTCATCCTTCCATCCGACTGGCCAAGTATCATCTCTCAGGTTCTGACAGCTTCAGCCATTGTTCTCTGTACGCCAACCACCCGGTCCTACTTGATCAACTACGCACGCAGCCTGATATATACCACGGCGATGGGCCACCCCATGCTTACGGCAATCCAAACGGTCTACGGCTATTTGAAGAGCGGCCAAGCAGATGGTCTTCTCGCCAACCTCTTCTATCTAGTGCAGGAGACTCACGCCCTTCTTCTCTCCATTTGTCAGAAGCATAATCCTTGGCCGCAATTATTCAGAATCAACACACGCCCGCCGCAGTCACCAATCATTCCTCTCTTCTCAGTGCAATCGAGGAGTCTAGCACGACACTGTCAGCAAAGAGGGTACATGGTGCGCTCCATCGTTGCGCCGACAGTGCCCAAAGGCACAGACCGAGTACGACTATGTCTTCACGCGGCAAACACAGTATCCGAAGTACGTGGTTTGTGCAAGGCCATTGAGGAGTGGCTCGAGCAGCGACTGGCAAGAGATTGCTCTCCAGGGCCTGACAATCTACAACTACCATCAGTCGGTGATATAAAAAGACCGCCACTAGCCGAGTCGAGTAAACTGTAGAATCAAGGACAATTTGTAACCCTATTAGAGACTCGTCCTATCAAACTTGTGTGCTGTTTCTGTGAAATCCTGTCTTCATATCTTGCCGGCTTCAATGTCGCCGGCGTCCTCGACAGACTTTTTTCCGAAGCTCTTCATTGGCTCCAAACCCCAGCGGCCAAACATTGCGCTGTCCTCGTCCCAGCCGTTGCAATCGGTCGTCAGCATCTTCTCACCAGTGAAAATGGCATTAGCACCCGCCATAAAGCACAGTGCCTGCTTCTCCTCCGACATGGTTTTGCGGCCAGCAGCAATGCGAATGATGGTCGCGGGCATGAGGATTCGCGCTGTCGCAATCGTCCTCAGCATGCTCGTGAAGGCAACTGGCGTGGTATCTCCCAGCGGCGTGCCCTTGATGGGTACAAGGGCGTTGACGGGGAAGCTCTCTGGGTGGGATGGCAGTGTTGAAACCGTGTGAAGCAAGCCAACTCTGTCCTCGGACGATTCGCCGAGGCCCAGGATGCCGCCAGAGCAGACCTTGATGCCGGCATCTCGCACATTGCTCAGCGTCTGGAGACGCTCATCGTACGATCTCGTCGTGATGATGGACGGGTAGAACTCTCGACTGGTATCAACATTGTGGTTGTAAGCAGTCAGTCCGGCTTCCTTCAGCTGCTTCGCCTGCTCAGCGTCAATCATGCCAAGCGTGACGCAGACCTCCATGCCCATGGCCTTGACACCCTTGACCATTTCTGCAATGTTCTTGAGGCTGTTCTTGCGGCCACGCATATCTCGCCACGCAGCACCCATGCAGAAGCGCGTGCTGCCATTTTGCTTGGCGATTCTGGCGGCTGCGAGGACTGACTCGACGGTTTCAACACGCTTGGCTACGAGACCCGTGCCCTTTTGATAGCGCGTGGCCTGGGCGCAGTAGGAGCAATCTTCGGTGCAGCCGCCAGTTTTGATGTTCATCAAGGTGCAGAGTTGAACTTCTCCCGGGCTGTGGAACCGTCTATGGACAAGACTCTGAGCCGCAGCTGTCAGTATGCCGAGGCCTGGCCTTGAGCTTGGACGGCAGGGAGCCAGGCGGAGGGCGATCGGGGCGGGGTCTGGCTCACAGCTTGGTGTGCCAGTTCAAGCAACGGCTGGTAGTAAATGGCAGAAATCTCCTGTCGCGTCCAGTTCTGTCTCGGGCCGGTAGCAGCAACGGCATCTTGAAGGATCTTCTTCGCATTGGCTTGCCTGGCGGCGTTCTCAACGGCCTCGGGCTGGTCGTGCGCCGCGGTCGGCGAGTCTACCAGCGTAGCGCCAGTTCGGGCCTGCTTCGTTGACGGCAAAACAAGCCGGGGAATGGATGCTGCCATCCATGGTTCCCGCAAGACAGCTGTTGACCGTGAACCAGATGACCGCAAGGAGCGGAGGCCACTGGTCAGGACCGAGGACCTCATTGTTGAGCTGTGTACGATTGGACGCATGGTCTGGGCGGCCGGCGAGAAGATGGGATACAGGACAAGCGGTGACGCCCGGCAACGCGATCCCGTGACAAGAGCAAAAAGCACGTCACCCGTCCTGGCACAAGTATATCGTCGTTGGGCTGGATGGACAGTCCCGCTCTGCATGAGTCCTGTCGCATAGCATATAAGGTGGTCTACCACACACAAAAAGTGTGGCGTGGGCCACGCCCAACTTTTGGTGTGACAAGTCCATGACCCCTCGTCGACCAGTTTGCTGAGTGAGGGGGGTGGGGACTCAAATCAATCAATACCCATGGCACACCATCAAATAGGCAGCTTCTGGATGGACCGCACATCGCAAGCGGATCCTGTTGCTTGTCCACCCATGTTGGCTGAATGGGGCAAACCCCAACACTGTGCTATTCTCGTTGAGCCAAGGGGCGCATCAAGCTTGGAGGGAGTCGAGGGACATGTCAGGCGTCAGTGACTGTGTGGCATGAAAATTATCCATGTGCACGAGTGTGATTGTGCAGCTCCCTTCCTTCCCAGTGTGCAATCGACCGGAGGCAAGCGCGGCTCGCTGGGCTCGGCTCGGCACCTGCCTGCCCCTGTTGAAACTTGACCGTCATCTCAAGTTCCACAGCCTCAAATGGGGGAACGTCTTCAGTGGCGGCACCGTCTTGAACTCTTTTGACACTCTGACAATCAAGCTTTTCCATGATCCCCGTGGCGCATATCCGGCCTACCAGCCAAGCCGCCACATCATCTACTCCGTACACGTCCGCTCTGGCCGACACGGTCCGATCCGACTCGTGCCGATTCAGGAACAAGAAACAAATATTGGGTTCAGCCCTACACAACTGTCCCAAGCCTTTGCCCAGGGACCGGCTCTCGCTCCGGTGGGCGACCCTCGGAGAGAAGTTGGCGGATCCGATGCAATTCATAGATTTTCCAGTTGCCAGTTTCTCCAGCCATTATTCGGCAGCCGTGTCTCATTCCTGGCCGCTGGACATCAACTTTCACCAGGCCGGAAAAGGCAGGTTGCCTGCTTTGAGAGGCCCGACTTTGAACTCGGGGCTTGGTTTCTATTTTTCATTTACCTACCTAGGTAGGTAGGTATTCAGACGACATGACTGTTACCTGCCAATCCTCGCAGATGGATTCTACTCGCTGCGTTGACTGAGAAAATTATTGCCGTCACATGCACTTTGTCACGGTCACCAAGTGGTCGAGGCAATTCGCTTCGCCGCAATGGTCATGGCATCAGACGGGCCAGCGGCCATGATTGTCCGCTTGGAGTCAGATGACCCCTTATCCAGGCAGCACTCGGAAGTGACTACGTATACGGAGTAGAAGACATCGAATCTACTCGGCCATGCTACTACTTAGTTGGTTCTAACGAAGGGGATGGATCGGTCTTTGTTTCGTGCCACCATCTTTGTCTCGCCTTCGACCAGCACTTTGATTCCCCACACCTATTTGCTTACATGTCCGGTCTGCCATCCCGGAAAAGACCAAGCACTCACCAAACCAGATTGCAGAGCTACGGCTGCCCTGTGCATGGTGAATGACCCGGACTATAGAGCCGCACGGGTGAACTTGGCCAATGCGGGTGGCACACGTCGAGCGGCATCACAGCAGGTCCCTTGTTTTGCGCCGCCTCCAGCACATCTACCTCCGCAGCCGAGCAGGAAGTAGTCACCAGTCGTGGAAAGCTCTGCCGCTCATCACCGGGAAAGGCAAAGAGGGGGTCTCCGGAGCCCCACGGAAGCCAGCGTTCTCCCGGATACTTTCACATTGTCCATCTTCGACGGAAATCGAGCCTGGCATGTTGGCGCGCTATCGGTTCAGAGAAAAGAGCATGGCTCGACCAACGAAGAGACATGAAACAAATGGCGCAGTTGTCGCAACACGCTGCAACACGACGTGACGTGTGAAGAAATGACCACCCACGCCTGGACTCAATTCTTGTTCTAGTACTGTCAACACTGAACAGTAAGCCATACGTTTCACACGTAATTCCGTGGCACGGGCTATGGATGACGAACACGGCTTGCAATTCCTTGACTGGCTGTGCGAACCAGTATTTGCATCGCTCACGCAACATGAGAAGCATCACAGCAAGGCGGCGATCGTGGACTCATCTACAATGCAAACACCGAGGACACACACAGCCAAGACAAGGCTCTGCCATCTACGGACCAGCGTATCAGAGACGAGCCCAAGACACAACTTGCGAGACGCCTAATTGCAAGCGGGTATCGCGGTGACGCGCAACAAGCACACGCACGCCGTCGCAAACATCAAGTTAACTTTTTCCAAGAACTTTGCTCTCAGTCAGCAGGGATAGGCGACCTTCGAAAAATGACGTTGGGTGGCATGACCTGCCCAATTGAAGGGCCCGTGCTCCGTATCGCCGCGAGACCAAATGAATACGAAACACTCGACAATCCCCAAGGACAGTCAGTGCCCAATGCCGTGCCCGTCATCATAGCTCCATCATATTGTCACCAGTTGTGGCCACAGTCGCCGTGGCAGTTGGGAATGGCGCCATCTAATAATAGCCTCGCTTCAGTCACATAGCCTATTGTCCAACTTCGCTAACACGACGCGGGATGCTTGACAGCTGTTGTCGGGGCGGTGCCGCACTCCGATCGCCCTCGCCCTGCCCGCATTGAACAGGGTCTTTGGACCGCACTTCGTCAAGGGCTGGTCGGAGAGGTATTGCCTCGCACCAGGCTGTCGAGCAGTTGCGTCATAAATGGATTGCCACGAGCAGCACTTACAAACCCTTGCGGGGTGGGCGGACGGACATGCCCGCATGAAGGGGGATGGATGGATCATGGTGGTGGTGGTGGTCGAACTGTTCCCGCACCTGCGCCGAGACTTGACAATCTGGGCGATGTGAATCATCATCTTAAAAGGGTCCCACGCCGCAGCGATTTTCGAATTCCCCGGAACTTGCTCTTCCTTTTGTTTTGTTTTCAACCAGTACCTGACTTTGTCCTTGCTCCCCTCTTGCTCCGAGATACCACCAACGCGTTCCATACTACACGCAATTTCAGGATGCCGAGACCCGGGGCATTTGGCTCAAAGTAAGTGTCGTGCCCATCTACGGATCATACATGACATGGCATGGCATGGCATGCATGGGATGTGCCCGTTGGTTTCTGGGCTTCGGGTAGAAATAGGTCATATAGGCACTCACACCTGGCTATAGTCTTGCCGATTTGGCCAGCTACTTGCTCACAAATGGTCCTCGCAAAGTATATCCAGCCTCGCGACGAGTGCGCGTGAGGCACAACCAAACCACAATCGTGGACACAACCAAGGCCGTGCACGTCTGGGAACATGATGGCTACCCCCAGTTCTACTTCCCGCTGAGCGAACTCAGACATTGCTCCGCAAGAGATATACATCTGGTCAGGAGCGAGGGGTTTGCCAGAGCTGCCGTGGTGGAAGTGACCATTCCGTCGAGGAACGGCATCCAAGAGATCAAGACGGATCGCGTGATCCGCTTCACCGACGACAAGAGCCTCGGCGCGTTATCAGGGCTGGTGCGCTTGGAGTTTGGGGCTATGGGTAAGACACAACTCACTGGCCTTTCTTTCGTGCTTGTGCGATTCCCTCTTGTCCCGAGTCCTGACGGTTTGTGTGTTTGTGGTAGATCAATGGCTCGAGGAGGATGTCCCGGTATACGTCCATCCCAAGGATCCCTTCAAGCGGATAGATGTTCTCCCGTCGTCACGGCCAGTAGAAGTCAGGGTGGACGGCAAAACCGTCGCGAGTGCCACTTCGTCTGTCCACTTGCACGAGACGGGCCTTCCGACGAGGTACTACATCTCGCCTGGAGCCGTCGATCCGGCCTTCCTGCGAAGGAGCCAGCTCGTGACCAAGTGCCCCTACAAGGGCGACGCGGAGTACTACGACGTGGTCGTAGATGGGAAACGGCACCACGACCTGCTGTGGTGTTACAGGCTGCCTGCCCACGAGAGTGTCGGGATTGCGGGACTGCTGTGCTTTTACAATGAAAAGGTTGACATCCTGCTCGACGGGCAACTTTTAGAGAGACCCGAGACCCATTTCGGTTAGAAGGGAGGGCCTGGTTCGGAGGGAGGTGTGGCCATGCATCGAGTTATCATGGTGATGAGATTATGACTACTGTCCATATCAATGCAATGATTCGACGCGTACGGAGTACTCCACATTGTGTCCTCAATCGTCTTGCTCACGGCTTCGTCTTGCTCACGGCTTCGTCTTGCTCACGGCTTCGTCTTCCTGCTAAGCTTACATGGACCTTGGCACAACGCAGGGTTGAGCAAAGTCGCAACACAGGGCCAGGAGACGCAGGTCAGAGTCAGACACGAGCAACTACATCGCAGCTTGGCCGTCCCTGTTACCTAGTACTCGTGGAACCCTTTTCTTCATGGAATTTCCTTTTCTGCATGGCTGCAGGACATCCTTGAAGGCCGCCCGATCGCGTTTTGGGCATGGAAATTTCATGAATACAAAATAGAATGCGATTGGGCCAGCACTAGTAGTGCGTATTAAATTTCTCTCCTTCTCGTTGTCCTCTTTCTTGTCCTGTCTTGCCTCCTTTGGCGAGGGCCAATGAATTACGGACCAAATATATGTACAGAAGCGGACTGGGAAATGCGTCAGGGTGCAATCGTGCCGACGCAGGAGACCCATGCACGATCAGCCGATTTGGTCCCGATGCAATCAATCAGTCTTGACGGTGAGACGGATGAGAGAGCAGCGTGAGATATGTGGCCCACGCTGTTGCTGCTTATTCTGGTGCGAACAGCAGGAGGCGTCTGGAGTTTGATTAATTGATGGCTGGCAGAACCAGTGATATATAGTAACATGTCGCTCATGCTGGCAGCCGTATGGGAGGTAGTCGTCTGTTCTTGAGGGGAGGACAAACGCCGCGCTGCTTTCTACGTCATGGCGTTTTGAGCTCTTGTCGCCCATGACAACACGAGCGTGATGAGCTTGCTGCTGCAGCTTGGACTCAATCCTGTTGATGAACCTGATGCCACAGAGTCTCCTCGTAACTTCCAGGGTGGGTGTTTCTGGTTGGTGGCCACTCCCTTGGAAAACCGGAAACCAGGCATCCTATGAAGTTGTGGGATGGGTGGCACTCCATCTCGGCTAACTTGTAGCTTATAAAGAGTCTTGGACATAAGTGCAACCAGAGCTCGCGATGAGGTATGGCGAAATGAAGAGATTGTGACGGCTGGTAAGCTATATGTCAGTAACGACACCGTTGACAAGCCTCCCATTACGTATCAAGGTTCTTGACCGCCTCGTAATTTTGTAGATTCCTAATCGGGAGGAAGCAACGAGAAATCTACGTAGTTTTCTGAAGCGATACAGGGCCTGGTCGCTTCTCTAATAGCATCATTGCATGAAAAAAAATTAAAAAACTCCACGGGGCATAAAGCACCCCATGGGTACGGGTTTTGAGAGCCGGTGATTTAGGCCTGGTTTGTCGTGACTGTCAGGATCTTTGCAAGGTCCCGACAAATAGGACAATGGGTAATAAATGACACTGGTAAGCGGTCAAGTCTTTCTCTGCTGGTGTTTGTGAATTGTGAGAAACCAGAACGGAGATTCACTCCGTAGATGGCGGCCGACATATCGAACATCCGGGTGGTGAACCATGAGCACCCTCCCTCCCTCCATGCCAGGACTGAGATCCTGGTTGGAGCAAACAATGACCAGTTTGGTCCACAGTGAACACCGTGACACTGTCGAGTCAAGAGCTGCACAATGGCGAAGCAAGGCTGGCCAGGATGGTCATTGGTGGTACTCTGAATCCTCGGCTTGGCTTAAGCCCGGCCAGAGGCGAGACGGCGACAGGCTTGAACATTGGTCCAAGGTAGCCTTCTCAATACTCCATGTTTGCAGGCGCCAACCGTTGTGCGAGCGAGGGACGGAGCCACACCCGCCGGGCTGTATGTATGTATGTATGCATACGGAGTACGGAGTAGATGCAGATGCAATACAAAAAAAGTAGCCGAGGCGGGAGTCGTATTGGTGTCGCTGGTCAACTAAATTGTCGGTTCGCGTGTGTCGTCGAAGCTGGCCTTTTGTATTCCACCAACTGGTTACTATTCGGCGCGATGCCAGAACGGGATCTTCATGGCCCTGATCGTTGACGGGAACAGGGGACTCTGTGGTGCGCCGCATCTGTCTAGGAGTCGGGGATTATGATTTGACTTCTAGAAGTACCTAGCAGTTGATTCGTTGGACTGCTTGCTTTCTCCCCCCTTTTGCCGAGCCAACTGAAACCTTGCTCCGCCTTGATGTTGGCCTGGATACTCCATAGACTTCGCTTAATCCCTGTGCGCATGCGCAAGTAACTAACTAACGTTAGCTCAAAAGCGTCACGGAGTACTCCGTATGACCATCAGAGAAATCGGACGAGAACAAACAAAACCGTTACGGCGACCCCCGTCCAGAGGTTGCGTTGAAGAGTTGCACGACCGTGCCATCCATGCCTGTCGACGACTGCCCGTTGTGCCCTGACTGACTGCTTTCACATTCGTGACTCCAGTCCATGTTGTCTTGACTGTTGGCATGGCTCCCGCCTAGCCACCACCTTGTCTGCTGATTCGGCGAATTTGATCATCTCCAATCTTCCCGCGTCTTTAATAAGTTGGTACGTAGTATCGTTGGGCATGGAATCGTCGGCGCAGCTTGGCTTGGTGTGCACGTGTGCGCCACCGCCGCCCAGGCACACACTCCGGTCCCCGAACCAATTTATATTTGCTTTTTAGCCAAGGGGCGGGCATGTCAAACAAAGTCTCTCGTTTTCCGCGGTCTGTTGTAATTGTAACATGGCACGGGTATCACGGCGCCTCCGGGGCAATGCTCATGCTCATCTCGGCGACTTCAATGACCCAACTCGGTTCCAACTCACACACAGCCGGCTTGGTCTTGCGACGACGTCCTGTTGCTGGACGTTCAATCGCTGGACGGCTCAGAGCCATCTCGACTTGGAAGATGATGGTCGGGGAGAGGGGGGGGGGGCCTTGCAAATATGCTGCCCTGAGCGCCATTGATAGTCCATACATGGACCTCCAGAATAGCCAACAAGCTCGGGCTTTTCGGCAACGGCTCGACGCATACTGCCCACTGATGTATTAGTAATATCAACACGATTGAACATTTACGCGGTCAGAGTTGCGCTCGAGCTGGGTCATGGGCTAGGTCCTTCTCATACGTACTTTATTCTCGCCCATGTATATGTGAGTTGCCCTCCCCGCCCCTTGCCGATCCACGAGGCTGTTTCTCATCCATTGAGTTTTCAGTCGTCATCATGATGGCTTGCCGTGCAATGCTGGCCATGGCCGCGGCCTTCGGCGTCGCTGTTGCCCTTGGAGATACGGACACAATCACCTGGGGGGGTGACAACTCTAGAGCCGGCTACCAAACGTGAGTCGATAAGAATTAGCCCCATTGGAGTAGAGGCCGCCGATCACGGCGGAGAAGGAGTGACTGACTGATCTGCATGAAACTATACAGAAACCATAACATGGACCCGGCCGTAGTTGGCAGCAGTCAATTTGGTCAACTGTTCAGAACACAACTGCCTGGTGTATGGGTTGGACAACCTGAACAAGTCTTCTCGCAGCCCCTCGTCTATACCCCGAGCGGTGGTAACAAGCAATATGTGTACTTTGCGACGACCCAGAACAATGTCTATAAGCTCGATGCCAAATCGGGGCAAATCGTTGCGTCGCGGAATCTTCATATTCCGTTTCTTGCTGCAGATCTCGACGGCTGCGTCGATATCAACCCATCCATTGGTATTACCGCGACCGGCGTCATTGACCCTGCCACCGATACCCTGTACTTGACGGCCAAGACTTATGTCGATCAGAACGGTGGTGAAAAGGCCCAAGGCAGACCGGCTGGTCGATACTATATTCATGCTCTCAGCGTCGACGATCTTTCTGAGCGGCCCAATTTTCCCGTCGACCTCGAAGGCATGATTGCCAACAACACTCCTGAGCGCATGTTCCAGGGTGGTATCCATCACCAACGTCCAGCTCTTCTGCAAACTGGCGATTTCATTTATGCCGGTTTTGCATCCCACTGCGTGCAGTACAACTTCACTGGCTGGATTATCGGCTGGCACAAGACGACGGGAAAAATTGTAGAGAAATGGGCAACCGAGGGCGACGGCGTCCCCAATGCCATCCGAGGCGGTGGCATCTGGATGTCTGGCGGCGGTATTGCCTCTGATGACAAGGGCTCTATTTTCCTCGCCACGGGAAATGGGTACGCCTCTCAGCTTGCCGACGTGCCTGTCAATGGCTTCAACCCTCCCACCTCGTTGGAAGAGGCTGCACTGCACATGACGATAAACGCGGATGGCAGTCTTCAGCTGGTCGATTTCTTCATGCCTTGGGAGAAGCGCGCGTTGGATGGTGCAGACAAAGACCTGGGCACGAGCCCTTTGGAGATTCTGCCAAGTGAGTTTTCATGCGGCAGCGTCAAGCGAATTGGCGTCGTTACGGGAAAGAGCGGCAAGACGTACTTTCTCAATCTGGACAACCTGGGTGGATACAAGAACGGCAAAGACGGTCTCGACGACGTGATTCAGGTTTACGAAAACCTCAACTCGGTGTACGCGGGTGCTGGCGTCTATCCTCTGGAGGGCGGATACATATATATCAACGTCATCCAACACCCCTCCATCGTCTTCAAGTTCTCGTGCAGTGACGGAATCCCGTCCTTCTCCAAGGTGGCCGAAACCCCCACGAACAACGCGTATATTCTCGGAGTCAGCCACGGCACAACCACTTCGCTCCAGGGCCAGCCGGGGACTGGTCTTCTCTGGATCACGGACGTCCAGGGCCTCAACCTTCGAGTGTATGACGCTGTGCCCCGAAGCTCAACCATGAACCTGATTCAGTCCCTTAACATTCCGGGGGTAACCAAGTTTACTCGACCCGTATTTGGCGACGGAATCGTGTATGTCGGAACGACCCAAGGTTACGTCTACGGCTTTGGCTCCCCCGTCAATGTGCCTCTCAACTGCACGTCGCCCGTCGATTTCGGCAACGTCAACACGAAGAACAGTAGCGTTGTCAAGCCTGTTACCTGCAAGGCCCTCATCGGCGTGACAGTGACGGGCATTGAGCTTAACGATGCTAAGAGCAAGGATTTCAGCCTTTCTGGTTTGCCTAGACTGCCCCTGGAGCTGGCTGTTGGCCAGACTTTCATGGTCAACGCCAAATTCTCTCCTTCAAACGTCGGCCTGCAATCCAACGATGTCGTTGTAAACACTACCAACTCAGCCGCCGGTTTCAGCACCGGAACTCACGCCAGACTGACTGGAACAGGCCAGAGCGCCGGTGCTCTTCTGGATGTTACTCCTGTAATTCTCACGTTCAAGAAAGCCATCACGGGCGAGGATCCCAACGGGGTGTCAGAAAGCATCATAGCCTCCAACTTGGGCAATGGGATGCTAAGTGTCCAGTCGGTGCTGTATTCCACAAACAGCACTAACGGACCATTCAAAGCTTGGAACGGCCAGGGAGATTTGGTCGTTGGTAAATTCAGACTTCAGAAAATACCATCTACCATTCGACCGAACTCAGCAGCAACAGTGAACGTCCTATTTGATACGTCCACGAGCGGCACCTATTCTTGCTACGTCAAGTTCGTTTCGAATGGCGGCAATAAAACAATCTCGATGGCTGCCTCAGCAGGCCCTGCACCAAAGGCGTTGCTCGAGTTCCAAACACCCGATACAACCGGATGGGTCAAATACCAACCGGGCACACCCTTCACGTTTGGCAATGTGACTGAAAATAATTCTAGATCCCTCAAGTTCCGGGTCACCAATAGCGCAGCAGCGGGCGCGGCTCCTTTGTCGTTGACTGTGTCAAAGCCTCCCTTTGGCCTCGCTGGGCTCATTAGAGCCTTGAACCAGGTAGACCTTGCCGAAGGCACATCGCTAGGAGCAGGGGAGAGCGCGAACGCTACGCTGATTTGCAACGTGCCCTACGCACAATGGAATACGGCTCCGTACAACGGCACGGCCCGGTGGACTATGAACACCAACGACGCCACGCTTGGGAAGCAGTTCATTCAATTTTTCTGCAATGCCGTCGCCGAGCAGGCACCGCCGCTTCTGCCCGATGGCCAGAGTCAATTCAAGTACATGGGGTGCTACAGGGACAATGACCCCGGCCGCGAGCTGCCCAACGCCATCTTCTCCAGCGACACAATGACTAATGCGGATTGTATCAAGGCCTGCAGTGACAAGGGCTTTACGTTTTGTGGTACGCAGTATCGACGGGAATGCTGGGGAGGCAACACTATACCCCGGGAGAAAGTGAACGACGTCGATTGTAATTATGACTGCGCCGGAGCCTTGAAGCAGATTTGCGGTGGAAACGGAAACAACAATCCTGGATCGTACATGTCAACGTTTGGCAATTCGCTCAAGTGGGATGGCAACACGACACAACCCCCCCCTCCAGCCGGACCGGTTATCAATCCGGGTGTGTCGGGATATGCGAGCATAGGCTGTTACACTGAAGCTACAAACGGTCGCGCGCTGCCGAACGGTGCGGGCACTGACAAGAGAACGGTGAAGGATTGTGTTGACGGTTGCAAGGCTGGTAAATACATATATGCCGGCCTGGAATATGGTGGCGAGGTGAGCTGAGGCTGAGGACACTTTCACCGCAGAGGCCAATATTTTGACTAACCGGTGGTGATAGTGTTGGTGCGGCAACGAGTTCACTGCTGGCGCTGTCCCTGCTCCCGACAAGGACTGCAGCATGACCTGTAACGGTAAGTAGAAGGGTTAAATCCTGTGGACGTTGGCTGATATCCGATAGACAACTCGACCGAGTACTGTGGTGGCCCATCTCGCCTCAATGTATACAAACTCGGCCCCTTTGTGGCAACCAACACCTCGTCCGCACCTACACCTACACCAACAGGTCCCGCCAGGAAGTTGAAGGTTGGCCTTTGGAATTTCCAGGGGTGCTGGACAGAAGCGACAGACGGCCGTGCGCTCAACAGTCATATGTACGCGGATGATAATATGACACTCGAATCTTGCTCCAACTTCTGTCACGGCCAGGTGTACTTTGGTGTGGAATATGGCCGAGAGTGCTACTGTGGCAACGAGCTGCAAGCTGGCAGTGCCAAGGCCGGCAACCCGGATGACTGTAATTTCCTCTGTCCTGGTGACAAAACAGAGTATTGCGGAGCCGGTCTTAGATTGGAACTATACAAAGCATAGCGCTGCTTTTGGCTCTTTGCTTAATTCTTCATCCATCACGTTCTCCTGGATATTTTGTGCGCCTAACACAAACCTGCTACCGCATCAGTGCCTGCAACAACCGCATCCGAACCATCTGCAACCACGCTCAGCCTTGACAACTCTGCTAGTGTCCGAACACTTGTGTCTTTATCGTTTTACCACGCGTCGACCACTCCCACCTCACCCGCCGCTACTTCTAGTACAAGCGAGGATGATGCGCCTACCGTGTCGTCTACCAAGACTCTGCGCCTTCGACCACGCCAACTCCTGCTCGGCCGATGATCTCCCAGGGGAACGCAATATCTGCTTATTACGCCTACGTTGTATAGCCATCTAATGACCGAATTCTCCAGAGCCAAGTTGTCAATGCCGAAAACAAGTTAGTCGAGGGGTGTCTTGGCGAGTGCCACCAGCACAGATGTGCAGGCGTAGAATACGGCCAAGAGTGTTGGTGCAGCGACAAGCTGAATCTGCCCGCGATCGATGGTGGTAGACCTGGAAAGGACGTTACGACGAGGAGTGCAACTTCTTGCGTCCTGGTAACAGCACTGAATTCTGTTGCGCCGGTTCAAGGTTGAGGTCTTTACTATTACTCACGCCGACACATGACAAAGTGATTGGACTGGTCGATCCTTGGGGAGGAAAAAAAAAAAAAGAGCCCACACGACCTTTACTTGAACTAGCGGTTGTCATTTCGTTGCTGGGATGGCATATAATGATACCAATGTGTGCCGCACAAATTTGGCTGCAGGTGAGCATGGTCGATATTTGGCATTACTTGTATACTGGATATTGCCACTTTGCGTATCAGCTGGAAGAGCTGAGCATTAATCAGATTGCGGCGAGTCAATCCTTGAAGTTGGGAACAGTATGAAACTACCGCAAATAATGTATCTGTAGGTTACAGGCTAGAGCCGACGATGAAATAATCTTTTTCCAAGGCGCGGTAATGAAATAGCGTGAAGATTTGGAAGATAAAGTAGGGTCGACTGTAATTTGAACTCGAGCGACATGAACTAAAGAAATAAGAAGAAGTGCCCTAAAAGAATATCCTGAAGAAGCCGATCCTGAACTAGTCCGCCCTGAACATGGAATGGAAAGGCTAACAGCCGTGATGGTAAGCTTCTACCCCAGAAGATGGTGCGCTTAGAAAAAAAAACCCCCCGACATCTTGTGAGGTCTTCCGAGCATCAGAAACAAATGAAAGAAAGGGAAAATGGAAAGGCACAGAAAGTGCATTCAAAAAGGAACGTCCTCTTGCTGGACCGCTTGCTCTATACCCTTCTAGTGTGATGGAGCCAATAAATTTCCCCTCGCTACCATGAGCGCCAATCTGTGCGTCAGGCCACCATGATCTGACGGGCGGCTATTGTGTTCCCTGCTGCTCCCTTCTCGGATACCCAGCACCCGAGCCAAGCTCTTGGACTTATGGGGGCTTCGTCCTTGTTCCAACGCGATGAGTCCTTCTCTCACGGACTGCGCATACTGTTGCGTGTAGTAGTAAGCGTCTTTGATTTCACCCAGGATCAGAGGTAGACTGATTCTGGACAAGGTAGATATGTCGCCGAGGTTCAAGCCCGAGTAGACGGACCAGTCTCGGGGCTGAATGGTGACGGAGTCGTCATCGAGAGCCTGGTCGTAGCTGGGCAGCTCGTCGTTGCCCCTTGATGCAGGAAGACTGTAGCTTGGCGGGGACCGAGAAGCAGTTTGGGCACGACGCTCTTGGGAGACGAGCTGGAGGCCATTGGCTGTATCTTGTAGTTGTCGCATGCGGCTGGCGAGGTTGGCGTCTGCTTGGAGCATGTCCATGACGGCGAGGGCGGCTTGGGCCTGGTGGCGCGCTGCGTCTTGGTGACTGCTCCTGAGATGAATGAGTCCTTATGGGTTCTGCCGGATTTGACGGAAAAAAAAAAAAAGAGAGAGAGAGAGAAAGACAGAGAGAGTGTGTGTATGTGTGTGTGTGTAAGAGAGAGAGAGAGGGAGAAAGGCAGAAAGACGGAAACACGTGTTCATGGCGACTTACACCTGTAGAAGATTCAGAAGCTGGGTGAGTATAAAGTCCACCATTGCAATCCTGTTGGCATCCTTGGCCAGGCTCTTCGAGCAGTGCGGCACTACCTCGTCAATGCCGAGGCCCAGCTCGTTGGCCTGGACCAGCAAAGCATCCAGCCGGCTCTCCAACTCGGAAACGGTCAGAATGGAAGCGGTCAGCACAGTGACGAGCACGTCCAGATCCACCAGGGCTGGGCGATCTCGGTGCGCCAGGGTGCCGGCTTCGACGCGCCGCAGGAACTTGTGCAATAGCTGGGCCGTCGTCTTGAACGACTTGACCTTGGCGAGGAGCCTCGTCAGCGGCGCGGTCCCCCCCATCGGTGACGTGTTCAACTCGTCCAAGTCACACTGCGCCTGGCACGATGCGGCAAGGAGACCAACGACGGCGTCGGCGGCCGTCAATGGGGCCGACTCGGTGCCGGGGGAAACAGACGTCGAGCCTCGTCGCCATGCGGCAAACGGACTTGAGGAGTAGCCCGCTGCCGAGACGGTGGGCGGGTGGTGGTGTCTGTTGGACGAAGCAGACGACTGCCCCGTCATGCCAGCTGATGAAGGATCGTGGTGTAAGTCCATGTCAGGACGGCGGCTCCTCTGCTTGTCTTTGCTGGTGGTTGAGGATCGGCGAGGCAAGAGGAACGAGGCCCGGGCGGTGTAGGGTCTCTTATGATTCTTCTGAATGTCCTGCCCGGCGGTTGTTTCTCTGGGCTGTTGTGTACTGCCATTGTTCTTGCAGGTGGCTTCGTGCAGAGCCTTGTCAGCTACGGGCTGCTTCGACGTGGACTGGACATTGACGGGCAGTATGGCATGTGCGGGCGTGCCTGGGGGGTAGTTCATGGCTGCCTTGCTGCTTAGCTTGGGCCTTTGGTCTGGGGGCAAGCAGGCGGCCTCACTGGTTATTGTTCGTTGCTCGTGCTCATGGAGCTCAATGCTCAATGCTCGTCCCGAGTCCCGAGTTCCGAGTCCCGAGTATTGGTGGATCAACGGTAGCGGTCGTAGCTTGTAAGTACGAGTGAGCGTGTTGCCGATCTCTGCGAGACGAGACTAGACTGTGCAGCCCCCAGCCGCGAAAAGCAAGAGTTTCTCTCAAAAGGCGGATTAAAAAAAAGTGCTTGGAAAAGCAACTCGTGTGAGACGAGAGAAACGAAGTCGGCCAAGTTCCAATTCTTGTTAACATTATATACCTCGCAGTCGGGGATTGGAAGCTTGGCATGGGCAGGAAGGCCAAGTGCTCCTTCCTCGCGCTGACCTGGACAGGACAGAAAAAAACGCCTCTTGACCTCCAAGGCAGAAACGTCCTTGGTCGGAGGGAATAATCAAGATGCAGTCATCTTCCGTCACTCGTCATCAACCAAGGTGGGTTCTGGTTCGCCGCCTTGCCTGGGCTACTCGTCATCTTACATGTGCACAAGGTTCATTCTTGGGGAAATGGAGAATGCATGAATTCACTGTTGAGTCAAAACCGTGGCGTCGTGAGTCAACCGGCAAGCCACCGCCTCGGAACGGTCTGTGACTGTACATGGCAGCTTGATTGGCTGACGACACGACGGCACTTTGGCATGTTCCCCCTTAGCCTCGATCGACAAACGTGCAAGGTACACGATGACTGGTGCTATTGGCATGACAACGTCTTGCAAGGCATATGGGCTACGTGAGTAAAAGTACATGACATGGTCAAAGTACTAGTTGTGTTCACTTTTTCCTCTGAAACAGCTCAAAGTACTACTACCATACTAACGCCCGTGTTGTTAGAGGACCAGCTGGCTTCACTTGCGTGGCAATGCGAATAGACGAGCCATGGACAACCTGCAAGGTCAGGGTCCCTTGGACCTCGATCCCATCCACGACGGCAAACAAAGCACATGTACTATGATTGGAGTGTTGGCATAGAGCTATCTAGCTATCTAGCAACCTAGTAAGTTTTCTCTTTTCCTGGAGCAGAGTTTTAGTCATAGCACGAAAACGTCCTACCGAGTGTATTGACGGAGCAATATCAGCATATCTGTATAGTACTCCTGCGTCACATTCCAAACGTGTGTCCATGCCAAACATGGCATTACAACAAGTCGACATTGCATTCGAATTACATGCAGATTCCGGCAAGTCTAAAGCAATTACAAAGCAAGCAGGCACGAAAACTCTGACGGCGAGACGGGCATCCTTCCTGGTCACGTAGCCGTTGTCAGCGACATCCAAGTACACAGACAAGTTTGACTTCCCTCCCTTGATTGCCAGAAAGTACTGAGCCGGAGGACTTTAATCTTTCCTGGCTGACAGCTCGTTTTCTCGGCGAGTCTGCATACATCACGTCAATATCTTTGTATTATACACACGCACGTTGACTCATCATCACCGAATTCTACTTCCCAGAAAAGAAATCAAAGCCATATTGCTCCACAACTTTCTCATCATCTAGACGCTCCCACACACAAATCCTGCTAGTCCACCGAGCGTGGCACCTCCCGGCAGAAACGACTGGCGATGGAACTCTGTCTCGGCACTTTCTCTTTCTCTCTCTCGCGCGCGCAGGCTCGGTCTCGGTACAGCGTGGTACTTGCAATTACCCAAATCGGAGTTGCATTCGCCCATGTCTTCCAGGAGATCGACAGGGCGAAAGAAGAGCAGCGCCGCAGACGGGTCGACAGAGGTTGATAGACGAACCACCAGCATGGCCACCAAGCAACACGGCAAGCCGGGCAGAAGATTTGCAGGCACAACATCATTCTGAACGAAGGGTCGGACGTACGAACCTGCGACGCATTTCCGTGGTGTCGCATGATTTTTCGCATTCGCTGCATCGGAGGCCGTATAGCACCACCTTCCGTGGCTCGGTGTCGTCAAAGCATCTCGTAGCTCCCGGGGGAAACTCATCCGCAGGTTTGTATGACGTGCAGCCCAAGCACTTAAATCTCAGTCCATGTTCGTTGTACACATCCGCCGCTCTTTCGGGCAGGCCCCCTTTCACCTTCTCATGTACATCTTTGACCACAGTCTCCAGATCTTCGTAGGTTCCGCTATGTTGTGTAAACATATTCTTCAGGGAAAAGTCCACACATCGATGTTGAAATATCGGTATTTGAAGGGCAACCGGCGAATCACCAGGTTTAGGAACACAATTACAAATGCAAGGGGCCTCATCTGGCGGTGTTGTCGTCCAAGAGTTGTTCTCAACAAAGCGCACGGCTCCCTCTCTACGCAACGTTGGAGTCCGGGGGAGCGGCTCATGAGGGAGGTCGCCGCGTGGACGGAGCTGAGAAGGTGCTGCTCTTCGTCGTCCAAGACCCAACGCGACGGGGAAGGATCCAGTGTCCGCTTCATCCGGCATGATGGCAATGGTTCCAGTGTCCCCTTGATCAAGCCCGGTGGGAATGTAGCTCACTATGACGGTGTTTGCTGTCTTGCACACGACGGGTATAACATGACGTGCCAGTTCTGGTGTTGGAATGACAAGGTCGTCGCCGGGTGAAGACGTGTGTTGCTGAGACTAATAGAGCCTCGAGGTTGACGCTTCTTCACCCTTGCCGAGGGGGACATGACGAGGTTTATATAACTCGGCGTCCGAGAGCGAACACAATCCCCGACCATTCATTCGTTCAGGGTCAGTTCGAGCGCTCGCAAAGCAAGCTTGCAGACAGTCCCACGAAAAGGAGAGTGTTGCAGTTGCGGCCTGAAGACCATTCGGAGGAGGAGCATCTCTGCCCCCAGACTAGAATGGCAAGCCGACGACTCCTAGCCTCGCGATGAGTGAATGACCCACGCCCTGGGAATTTGGATTACAAATGACAGGACTGTCCTTTCAAAGATGTTGTGCAGTTGATTCATTCCGTGGTGGCATTGTAGGCAACCAGGGAGGTGTGGCAAGATGCAGGAGTCTTTTTACAACCGTGCGTTTGCCAAGTCTACTGAATCATTGGCAGTGGATCAGATCATCATCAAGATGCTCGTTCTCATGAACCAGCAGGACTGTGCAGCTTCGTCGTCGTCACAAAAGCCAGACCGCTATCGCATAGCGTCTCCGAGAACAAAGGACGACAAAGGACATGCCGCGTGCGCACATTGCGCAAAACCAACCTGCGTTACGAGAACAGAAGATGACGTCCCCGGACCATTTCACGCGCGGAACATGGCTGGTTATCCGTTGGGTGTCCTGGTGCAGGGTCCAGGGATAACATTCGCAGCTCCAGTTCTCGGTGTCAGGAAGACTCCGCGACGCGGACAGAACCCCTTGGGCTCCCACGGCTGATCCCAGAGACGCAAAACTGCGTTCGTATTAATGGGGCCTCGCACGTCATCTAGGATTCTCTCTGCATCATCTGGCGTCTTCCACGTGCATTGCAGCAAAGTAAGACCACATTCGACCACAAGCGCGAAATACCTTCACTCTTGGGTTTGGCATGCCTTCCACAGCCTCGCCCACTTCCTTTAGCCGTGTTCCTCGCCGTCGCCAAGCGTAAAGACACTGCTGTCACGGCACTTTTCATATCCGACCTCTGCCAGTTGCGGTAGAGGAGGTATCCCGGGTCGCGGACGCGCATAGAAAAGCTGAAGCAGCGGATAAATGTTGCCGCTACGGAAAGACGTCTTCAACACGTCCCAAGAAGCTTTGACCAGAGCAAGGTCGAGCTCAGGACACAAGTTGACATACCAAGTATCTCCCGGGACCTCTGCTCTCGCCCCAGTCCCTTATGAAGCATCATTTTTTTGTGTCTGAGGACTCGAGGACCGCAGCTACTCGACTGGCTTAGATGGGGGAGGTATGCGAGCTGTTTCGAGAAGGGTGGAAATGTGACCACACGTTTGCGCGGAAGCATGCTCTGCGGCCAGCAAGCGACCCAAGTCAGAGAGAGCGAGAGAGGCAACCGAGTTGAGGGGCTTGAGGCTTGGTCTATGCCCAGATTCAACGCGCCCAACAAAATGGCCGTCGAATTCATCGACCTTTTTAGCGGCCAAGACGGGCAAAGGGCTGCGGCTCGAATCGCGAGTGGTGTCCGCTCCGCCGAGGACTCTATCCCTGCATGACGTCCGTTTCTCAAACCACCGGCGAACCGAGTTACTACAGCCCGAAATCCAAGTAATGGACTTGGCTGAAAGGCCCAGAACAAGACCAAGCACCGCGGCGTTCGGCCGGTGAGCTTCGACGAGGTACGAGGACGTGGTTAGCCGCTGCGCATTCACGCTGGGCGGCGGCGTGTATTTCCCTCTTCCAGTACGTCCCCAGCATGTGTATCAGCTCTTACATACATGAAGTCGTGTCCCGGACGTGTCTGGACACCCCAGACAAGCACTTCTCGTTCCAGCCCATGTGAGTCCTTGGCGAACAAGACAGCCTCCTCCCGGGCAACATCAACATTATCCACGGGAACCCGTCCTGGGCCCAAAACCAGAACACTTGGCTTGGTTTGCCGCACGAATGCCTAGACTGGCGGGCAGATTGTTCAAACACAGCGATCACCCCGTCGTCGGGACCAAACCCGTCGGCGGGTACGGTCACGCATGGGCATGTGGTTCGTTCCCGACAGGCATCATGCCAGAGCGCATCAAAAAGACCCTTCTTCAAAAGAATCGTAGACATTGCCCCTAGCGAGAGGCTCTCTGGGACCAGGCGCTCAAAATGGAAACCACGTCTCCCCAGGGCCTGTACAACCGCCAAGGACCCGCGGTATCTTCTGTGGCTCGAGGCGACGGTGAGTCTTGTGCGTGAATAGCGATTACAGACGACAAAGAAAATTCAACAGTGAGCATGGTATAGGATCGCTGCATCAGCAACAGTACCAGAACCGAACGTTCAAACGTGGGTGAATTGGGTGTCCGGGTTGCGCAATATCCCTTCCCCAAGGAGGGTTACATGGAGTTGAGTTTCCCACGGGCTGGAACTCACGGCCCGTCACGCCCTAGTGCTTCTGTCAAAGCTCGTGGCTGGCCGAGCCGTCGAAGTACTTCCATCCCATGTTCTCGACCGCCGACATCGTAAGTCTGGATGAGTAGGTGCTGAATATGGAGGCACATCCGTTCCGGATCCCACAGTAAGTCGACACGCCCGAGTTCTCATTCGCCACATGACAAGATATACAAGAGCCTGAATGGAGGGAGAACCGCCCGGGAAGACACTCCCTCCCGGCCCCTTTCTCATTTTCTTCCCAATCCCTCTCCAGCGTGGCCTGTCGGCGTCGGCCCCCAAGTCGGCGCATTGATGTATGATAGCGTTTCACTCCTCGAGCCCAAAGCACTGTCCCTTCATGATACCAGACGAGTATATGGCGCCCCAAACTCTGTCATTCCACTCGCTGCAGCGACAAATAGGGCTGGATCCCCCCGACAAGGAGGTAGAGCCGTACTGCGTGTCGGGCGGATCGACGCCGCGGCAGACGTTCTCCAGCATGTGGACTTGGTATGCGCCGATGACGCCCATGGGGGTCTTCATGTCGAAGCGCGCAAGCATCTCGCTGCGAGAATTGAAGACGAGCTTGCCGCCGGCGTTGACGGAGCCGCGGACGTCCATGAGCATGCCGGCGCCGTCGTTGCCCGTTTGCACAAACACGCCGTAGTGCAGGCAGTTGCCGACTCCGAAGCGGACTTCGTAGACGGTGAGACCAGCCATGACGCTGCCACAAAGCTTCCCTGGGTGTTGCGAGGCGAGATGATGGTTTCCAGTGAAAAGTTGATAAGTTGGAGGCTTCTGCTCCTTCTCCGGCTGCCAGAAACGTACGGATGAGCTTGAGAAGAGAAGGGGAAAAAAACCCCGTTGCGGCTTTTCGCTCTCCCAGACGCGCCGGAAAGCAAAACGGAAAGAAGGAAGTCAAAAAGAGCAGATAGAGTCCGGCGCGGGCTTTTGGTCAGAGTCTATACATATACAGTATCAGCCGGGCAAGAATTTCAGGGAGTCAGTCGTACTCATCCTTACGCACATGACAACAGCATCCGCGGTGCGCTGAATAAGACGCTTATATCGTGCAGCAGCGAGGAGAAAATGTTCAATAACCGCCCTTTCAAATCAAAGGCTATCTTTGCCACTTGGGTAATCAGCGCTGATGAATCACCGGCAGGCAGGGCGAGCAGGCATCCGGAAGCCAGAGCATTCTCAAGCGGAATTCCCGCGTCCCGTCGAACCAAACATGCTTGACCAGACGTGGAAAAAAAGGTAAACTCGAACTTCGGGGACAATGACAGGAAAAGAAAGTACAATACACCTAAAGGCAGCCAATTGGCAGATGGTCGAGTCGCACCCGATTTGCACGGTCCCGCGTCTCGTGGGAAGCACAGCATTTGACAACGATGAGGCCTGCAGGCTCGTCGTAATACCGTTTCCGCAACATCTGCAGGGTGAGACTCCCTCCAGGACCGGCGTACGGCACCTTTTAACGAACCACGGGATCCCAGCTGCCATGCAAGGCGGCAGAAACGGCGCTGTGAAACGAGGAAAGCGTGGCAATGACGAAGCCAAACCGCGCCGTGACAAGATAGGGCTCTTGTTGGGCGCATCCATGAGCACGCGATGCGGTGTGCAAGACCACGTTCATGTTGGCGTGCTCGTAAATTCAGGTCTGCTGGTGCCCAACTTGGCCACCGGTGTTGAACTTCCCCCGAGCATCAGGTTAAAGCCATCTTGGGCAACCTCGCCATGGTTTCTTTCCAGCGCCCGAAATTCGCCACTGCCTACAGACACCGTGGAAAGCTCGCTCTATCCAGAACCAGCGCGCATCGTGAAAGCATCGAATACAAACAACGAAGCGCCTCGGAAGGAGAGACAGCAGGACGAACGGGGATCCCAAGAGCCAGGTCTCTTTCTCGCGCCGCTGTGGCTGCCAGATAGCCATCATCGGGGTCGGTTGTCTCCTGCATATATCTCCAGGTCGTATTGCAACGAACCAAGCCGCTCCGTCGTCGGTGTTCTTCCGGTTTGACGCCGGTTCTTGCCTGTCAGCGTTGGTTTCCAAGGTCCGACTTCCGATTTCTTTTTCGTTCCGTCTTGCTTTCTTTTTCTTCTTCCAAGAATCCCTGCGCCATGGATTGGCCTCGATGGCATGTTTTGGCCGTTGCCAAATAGAGATAATAGTCGACGTGTGTCTCACCACAGACGAGATGTGTGCGACGTGGTATGTTGATGGTACCTTGGTATGATTTCGTCCTTCACTGTGCCCAGGTCGCACACACGATAAGTTACTGCGATGCGACACTGTCCGCTTGCTGCCCCATGTAGTTGCCTCTCCGCAGCTCAATCAACCATCATGCTCAAAGCTCTTCCAGTGAGGAACCTCCCCCCCGTCATCCATCAGCTTCCTCCACGTCACACCATCAGCTCCTGGTCTATCCCACACCAGCGCGGACTCACTCCATGCAGACGGCATAAAAATCCCTCTTCGCTCTCTCACGGAATCACCATGCCCACGAGCCATGCCGACACAACAGCCCCTACCAATGAGCCGTGACTCATGAGCCACATCGCCACCTCCTCCCGGCCCACCCCCCAGCTCGGTGCGAAAATCAACGACTAGAGCCCAAGTCATCTTCACATATACAAAGAAATGCTCAGGGCTTGAGCTTGGCTCCGGCTCAGTATTCTCCCTCAGAATCTCGATCGGGTGAGGTGACTTTGCGTCGGGCTGGGAGTCCCGCGTCATGCCAACCAGGTCTACCCAATAAGGCGGAACGTCATGCAAGTGCATCAACTTCCACAAACCACGGAAAGCCTTGGCTTATTCATCAGAAGAGTAAAGAGACAGTTCAGGATCGTGTTCTCTCCAAGTGTTTCTGCCGCGCACGAGGGTGGCGTGGCTGCAACAGACACTGTTTCTTCAGCATGATGGGCGAGCTGCATCACACCTTTTAAAGAAATGGCTAGACTTGCTGGAAGAGCCAAATATCGCTTGGGTAGGTCGTGGTAAGGTGAGTCCAGCCTTCCTTTCCGCCTTTCAAATTTACGGTCCCGGCATCTTATCCTCAACCTCGCATGCCGATCCAGACCCTTCTTATGTCGTCGACTCGTCAGGCTCCATCCAGCCTCTGGCTGCTCACGTTGCCCTGCGTTCATCCAGGCACGAAGACCAAGTGCCTCGGACAGGCAAACGAGACCGTTCTGTGCGGTGGTGACTCTCGATATAAGCGTTGCGCCGCCGGGAAAGTCAAGGTGATGACTTTGCATGGCGCCGACTTCGTTTTCCATTTTCGGCAATAGCGCTCTCAAATCCAAAAGAGCCATGTCGATCGGTCCCACGCTTTCATTGGGCGACTGCAGACTACGTGAATGACGAGTATTACCCATGGCGACGAGACTGATCAACCTTGGTCGTCTCGTTTGACTCGCGTTGCGGCAAGCTACGAATCATCTTACACGGTTAGCACGCCCGGATGGCACGGACGTGTACTTGAAGCCAGGGTTGATGACGGTCATGAGTCATGACCCATGAATGTACTCCGTAGATTGGATGAGCAGACAGGGTCGCGGGTCGCAACTGAATACGTACAACGATCGGTTTCCTGTTCTCCGTCACTGTTTCTGGCAGCGCACGTGCTTTCGTAAGCAGGGAATATTAACTACATATCATGTTTTCAGTGACAGGGGTTGTTTGACGACCGTTTTGAGGACCATGCTGGCAAGTCGATATTCCTTCCGAATGATGGTGGGGACCGTAGCTCTCCGGAGAATGGAAACATGGCACGACACCGGCTTGCCAGACTGTCTGCCCAATGGTGATATCTCGAATCGGGTCGTTGTCGACGCCGCTCATGATGCTGAAGTGGCTGATGCGTCGAGAATGATGTTACGCCGTCGTACCGGGGACGTCCGAGGGGCGTAGCGCCAAGTCCAGTACTATTTCCTGGCCATGGCTGCGATGGGCTTGCGTGAGGTCGATTGCTCGCACGATGGGCCACCTGCATGCATTAAACATTTCGAGGGCGCCGCCCCCTGATTTGTGTCGCACGGCAACGGCATGCCCACGCGCCCTAGCATACCCACCTAGGGCTAATAGACACACATGCATATAGAATTAAGTTAATGCGCACCTAAAGCGTAGAGCTAGGCGTACTTATTTAAAGAGTATATATAATTCTCTTTTTTATAAATTAATTTAAGGCTTTTAACTATTATTTAAGTAATATCTAGCTTAGTGCTACTACTATTATATAATAGTTATAAGCTTAGAAGGTATTAATTAACTTTTATAACTTCTATTAGTATATTAAGTATTCTTTATATATATTATATACTTATTATTTTTATTTTAAGCTAACTATAAGCTAATTTACTAAGCTAACTATACTAATAAGTACTATTATAGCGCTAGTAAAGCTTCTTTATTTCTCTATAAATTAAAAGAATTAGTATAATATAATATATAATTATTATAAAATATAGAAGATTTAGAACTATATAAACTCTAATTAATTAAAGTAGAAGTTTAATAGTTTCCTTAAGCTTAAGTATTTAATAATAGTAAAAACTAAGGTTCTTTATAAAGTATATTATTACTTTAATTTAACTTATATAGTCTTTAAGGTATATAACTAAATATAAAAGAACTATAAGTATTAGTATACTAACTAGCTATATAAAAAGAGAATAGTATAATTTATATATATACTTAGTTTGCTATTTTAATTAAACTAAGTATATATTAAGTAACTATAGTTAAGCTAGAGAGAATAAATTCTAAATTTACTCTTAAGCAGCTAGTTAAGGCGCTAAAAGTATAGCTTGCTTTAAATAATTTAAGTATTTATATAGAAGCTTATAGAGCTTATAAAGTAGTTCTTAAAAATACTTAATATATAAATTAAAATTCTAAGAATTAGTATCTTTAATAAAGTAAGGCCTTTACTTATACTACTATAGAGAATATTACTAAGATCTAGAGTATTATTACTATTTATAATTTCCTTAAAGTAGCTAGATCTTACTATAATTCTAGCTAGGCTAAAACTTTAATTAATATAATAAGAAATAATAAAAGTATTAAAATACTAAAGACT